ATTCTTTCGGCCAGGCATGACTTCTGCCATTAACGAAATGCGTCTCCATTGTTCATCCTGCAACCGAATGCCCCACCAACTCCGCCAATACAGCTTCAGTATCCGTTTCAATGTATTTGTGCCGACTTCTTTTATCATGCAAGCCACAACTACCGGGTTATAGTCGACAGATATAGCAACTGGCCAATTGTAGAAAAGGTTGCTAATAGATCACAAGGACGCATATCCAACTTGCGTCGCACTTTTGCTACCTATGTTATCAGCGATGAACTTTCGTCTGATGGATGCCCTGAGTTCACTTCGCTGGCCACCAGAACCTTCCTCAGGGATTGGGGAGTAAACCACCGACTGTCATCAGTGGCGTTTCCACACAGCAACAGTCGGGCTGAAATCGGAGTAAAAACTGTGAAAAGGATGACTGTCGACAATACAGACCCTGATGGTAGCATCAACATCACCCTCTTCCAGCGTGCGATACTACAATACCGGAATACACCAGAGAGGGATCCCCGACTATCCCCTGTCATGTGCATATTATATTTTGGCCGACCCATTCGTGATTTCCTTCCCATTCATTCACCCTGGAAAGTAGGCTACTAAGTACCTTCCCCATCCGACGTGGCAAGAGACCCTATCCTCTAGAGAGGAAGCCCTCAGGAATCGTCACATGAGGGATGCCGAAAGACTCTGCACATGGGGTGCTACCTCCATTGGTAGTCGGTGATTGCGTCCCTTCCCCACTAAATGGGACAAAACAGGCATCGTGATAGAGTTTCGACAGTTTGACCAGTATGTCATTAGAGTGGATGGATCGGGCAGAGTGACAATACGAAACAGGAAATTCCTCCTCAAGTACCTGCCCGTAATAACCAGACCACCCCTTGCCATGATTCCAACGCCCCATGCTCACACCTTTGTGCATTTGTGCAGGCTAGGAACCAGACCAACGTGTCTCCTTATCCCCAAGACACGCCTTGTCAATCACCGACACCTGTGCAACCGCCCACACCTGCTGACACCAACGTTGAAGTTGAAGGGATGCCCATAACATAAACGGTGATAGTCCATCGCAACAAGCAGTTGTACCATGGCGAATGAGCCCCCGGCAGCTATAAAATATAACCACATGCATCGGCAGAACCAACATCAAAAAAGTTGCGGCAGAGCGTACTACTGCACCGACCACACCCATGTGGCGTGAACCACAAGCCCTGAGAGCCCTACGACCATTCAACAAACCTGGCTTAAAAGTATTAACAGAAGATACTTTATCTATCACGAAACGTGCAAACTAGATCAGAAACCCTATTATACAAGTGACATCATGATTCACGCAAGCCCATGGACATGAAGCAAGAATTGACTCTATGTTCAGTTGTCAGTCCATGACTACGTATACACGACTGGTGTTTCACCTTGTTGGTTCACCATACCCCGTTGATATGTCCGTCCCGATTATGTTAGCCTGTTTTTGTGCTCAGCACAGCCGTTGGTTTCATCTTGTTGACTTTTTTTTTAGTAGAGGGTTTTACGACGCTCGCAACTGCATATTAAGGTCATAAGAGCGCCAGAAGTAGAGGTGTTACAAGAGAGTAATGAACATAAAAAAGAAGAAGGGGAGATAAGGACGATAGATGTTTGATAGGAAAGAAGAAGCAAACCACAACTGAGCACCCGCCAACCACCCACTTGTTGACTTTTATTTGTTTGCTTGTCAACAAGTTACGTTACAGGTTCAAATTCTTCCACTTCATTTGTCAAACCTGACACCAGGAATTATTCTTTTGTTTACGACTGTCCAGTTTAACTTTCTTTCCCAGTCTTTGCCTCTCACACTTGTGGCCTGAAATCACATCTGTATCACAAAGACTTAGGAGGGGGGAGGGCATAGATGACCACATCGTGATGCTTGTTCGTGTATGTGTGAGTTTACCTATCGTTCATCTTATCCGTTTCAGAATTATGAACATTGCTGATCGATTAAATAAACTCTATCGTTGAAAGAAAATACCTCAGTTATTTAGTCCCCATCTTGCCTTTCATGACCAGGACCCGATACCATTCCATTCATAATCCTGCCATGACTTGATTACTTAATATACGGCGGTAAAATGTTGATGAACATTCACAAATATTGATCCATTTCGTTCTCTTCTTTCTTACATTTTGCTTTGTTCTTGGAAGCCATAAAATGAAGTGAACGGTCACAACCGTAATTTTGAGAACCTGGATGAAAACAAAGTACATACGCCCCCCCCCCCCCCCCACACACATTTAATATGTCTTAAACTTTAACATAATATATATGTATGTACAAGAGCTGCTAGAAACGAACAGGGTCACAGCTTTGGTCACAGTCAGTATGCTAGTAGTAGTAGTAGTAGTATGCACGATACACCCCGAGCGGTAGACATAAAAATTATAGAGGAAGTAGATTGCCCAAGTACATTTGTAACCCCCCCCCCCCCCTTTTTCACATCTTGATTTTCATTTCCATGACACGCTCTAAAGAAGGACGTAAGTCAATACCTTTGGAAGCAGGAAAAGTGAAAGGAGTAGGAGTGCGCCATACTAATTTAGAGGTGTGATTTGCGAATATGGATATTCTTATTGTAGGGAGTTTTTTTTTTAATTTGAATTTTAGGCAGGTGGCTGCCTACAGATACATTTTGTACTGTAGAAAGACATAGATACCCAATATCTTCCCGTTCTGTGACCTGACCTCACGTCATTTGTGTACGGAGGTCAAAACCCCAAGCATTAATAGGACTTCGGGGCAACAAACTGAAGCATGGTAATCATAGGACAACATTTGTCTTCAAATAATGAAATATGGACACCCCATGCCATGTGCATGCAGAACCTAGGCAGCATAATTAAAACTAACGGGGGCACGAAGGAGGACATCAAGAACAGACTCGGCAAGGCAAGATCTGTATGCAGAAGCATGATCAACATCTGGAAGTCAGGACAGTTCAGTACACAGACCAAGTTAAAGCTGTATAACAGCTGTGTACTATCCACACTCCTATATGGATCTGAACGTTGGAGGATGACTAATCATGATCGTGCTCTACACAGCAACACAACTTGTTCTGCAAATAGGTCACAGATGACATAGGCCTACATTTGAACGAATCAGCCCTTTTGCACAGTGTGTGCTTGGTAGAATTCATTTGACTTTCCAGCATGTCTTCCGTATGGCATCAAAGAAACGAAAATGCCTCATTTGGTACCAAACAACGCTTACTTTTGACTGAGGAAGTCGAAAAGAAGTAAAAAAGGATATTAACATGTTCCTATGCACAGTCGAATTGTAAATGAAAATGGGCTGATTTATCAATGTCATGCTCATACTGTGACGGAACAATATGGGGGAACTGCTGCTTTTTCTTTCCTCATCCTGACCTTACCATAGCTGCCACTCAGGAATTTCAAAAAAGGAGGAAATTCATGCGAAGGTGGATGCGCGCTCCCCGAAGGCTGGAGTAAAACCAGTGAGATCCAGAGGAAATATATACTGGAAAATCTAGTCTATGGTTTCGGAAGGGAAAACTGTCATATTTGTTAACCATAGGCAACTGAATTAAAATGTATTTGAAAAAAAAACAACAACAACATAACAAAAAAAACCCAACAAAGGCAGTAAGTTAAGTAGACTAACAAGCATTTGAGTCAATTTGACACAGTTTAGACTTGGTGACTAAAAATCCAATGTTTGTTGCAAGCTGGTGTCTTATAAAAAGATTTCTTTCAACTTAAAACTTGTACATCGATGTAGAATGCGCGCAGTATTGGATCAAGGAGGCAACACCTCTGCCGCTGTACTGAGCACTCCTGTACAACTGCAGTCCCGTTTGCACTTAACTTAGTAGTCCCTCTGTAGAGTGTAGATCTAACCTGAATTAAAATTATAGCCTAGGCTATCTAATCTAGATCTAGAATCTAGATATCTAAATATGTGTAAATCTAGATTATATCTAGAGATAGATTATCTAGATCTAGATTCAGTGTTCACTTCAGTGTTCCACAGCCACAATATAGATCTAGAATCTAGCCGTCATGTAAACAAACGGGACCGCAATTGTACAGGAGTGCCGCGGGCCGCGATTTCTTTATCGCACCAAACGCAAAGTGCAGCAAGCGGTTTGTTCAATTTTCTCATGAACTTTTCAAGTCGCACCGGCAGCTTCTTTCTCATTTAAGCTCCTTTTATTTTTGCATTCAGCATCAATTTCTCTCGAATTTCCGCCATTTTCATTGACAACTCGGTGCGCTAACGTCCTGATGCCCAATCGACACTTCGTTGCTCCACAATAAACAAAGTGAAACTAACGCTAGGCCTAGAAGAACGGAAGTAGAAAGCTACGGGCAGACATGCGTCATGCACAAGCTGCGTTTTCCTCTCTCTCCCGGTTCGGTGTTTTCCGCGTGTAAAAAAAGTATCGCAATTTGCGACCGAGAGCGGTCCATCGGAGGAAGGAGGAAAGTAGCGGGAAAAGCTAGATGAAGCGGAGTTTCCGCTATTTAGCGGGAAAGTGGCAGCTATGCCTTACTACAGTGGAACTCGGATTCAACGAGGTCGCCAGGCCTGACCTAAAATCTCGTTGAATCCGAGCGTTCTTTATAGCAAACACAAGGTTTTGTGTAGATAATAACAGGCACTGAGCAAGTAATGTGTATAAAGAGAAGTCACAAGTAATGCCTGAAATGCCTGCATATTAGGAGCTGTGCAAAAAAAAAAAGACCAATTCGTTCAAATGCACACGCCTGGGCCATCTCGATTGTTTACCAAAAAGTTGTGTTGCTGTGTAGAGCCTAGCATACGGCAACTTTTTATTCCATAGACCAGCGCACAATTCATTACGTAGCTTATCATTGCAATAATGATCAGTTGCGGATGGGGGGGGAAAAAGGACTTGTGTAATAACCACTCCCAAATCCAAAAAATTAATCCCATCACAAAAAAAACAATTGAAAAAAGATCCACAAGACAACAATAATTGATTATTCCACCTTTAATTACTTGCTCCAAGTAAAACAGTATTACGTGAAACGCATGCATAAGACACATCAGCTTGTGATGCACATTGCAATATTTAGTCATCAGATGCTGTACACATTGCTAGTGGGGCAGGGGGAGGCGAAAGAAGCCATTCACCAAGAGTTTAGAGAGGTGAACATGAACAGGAATACGAAAAACAATCGCACAAGACCACTGTCACCATGTACATCCCACCCATAATTTATAACATTACTTTCGCCCAGAGTTCAATTTACACATACAAAAAAATAAAATAAAATAAAAATAACCTAACCTTCATATCCTGAAGTCAGACAAACTAAGGAGAAAAATTAAATGCCTGCAAGTTTTTCTTCATCAGTTCCTCACGTAAAAGATGTAAAAATTTAAAAAAGACACAAGTTAATTTTGAAAAACAATCATACCAAGATTCCCCTTTAAAAAGTCCTACAAGAACAGTACGATCCTTCATAAGGTTTTCCCACAGAACAATTTCAGCACTTTTTACACACAGGAACGGCACCATCAGCTACCTCACCAGAGTGCATAGGTACAGTATTCAGTGGGGAATAATTCTTTTAAAAGCTTTAACCAAATTGTTTTTACAAGCCAACTTTTTAAAAACAAAACTCAGGTATGGAAAAATTTAGAAAATACCAAACCCAACAAAACTTGGAAGTATAGAGAGATGAGATAGAAGACCCAAGGGCGATAAATTAGGCACAGTGGAAAGACTTAGTAGGAACTGACAATAATTCATAAACCAATCTTAAAAATAAAAAAGAAAAGAAAAAAATATATAATTTCAAAACTAGTTATAAGTGCTATATGAAATCATCATCGTCATCAAAATAGCCACCACCTGACGTCGCATCAGCCAAGCCAAGGTCATCAGCTTTGTCCAGGCGGATAGAGGCCTTCTGCTTCTTCTTTTTGCTCTTTGCTTGCTCCTGGGGGGAGTAGGTAAAAAAAAGCGCATTTTAAAATTTCTATGCACATCCAGAACATCGGAGCAACAGAAAACCCTTTCAACCCACCCAATCGTCAGCAGTTTGGTTTGAGATAAGAGATTTGCTTTTTGTTGATGTTAATGCGAACATACATGTAAGACAAACCAAAACTATGGCTAACGCTGAGAAACAAACTGATGGCACAGTTAATCATCACCTAAGTGCATATGGTGAAAAAGCACTCCATTGAAAAGGAGGTGTTAGCATAATAGACTCTCAACTATAACTGGCCTGTGCAGCCACTCTCAATCACACACTTCAATTTGAAAAGGCCAAGACAGAGAGTACGGCAGGACAATGGGGAAAACTTTGCAATGATATTTTTACTTCTGCACTATCCCAAAAGGGGAAGTCACAACAGCCAGGTACTTGACAGCAAAGATCTGCATGAAGCAGTTTCCTTCACTGCCACATCTTTTGCAAACACAGATCCATTAAATTTCTTTATGCACCAGTAAATGTCAACCACCACAAATGACTCGACTTGAGTTCGCTTGTGCATAATGAGAACTACAGGGTGAAAAAAAAACAACAACTACAATTTTTTTCCTGAATATCTCGCACAAAAATTGTTCTAGAAGGACGTAATTTGGAACACACATGATTCATTCAAAAGAAATTTGTTTGATATAAAACCTGTAGAGAAGAAACTTATTTTGAAAACAGAAATGGCTTAAAGAAAAAAAGTAACCAAAAATGTGAAATTCACCAATTTAAAAAAAATCTTGTTAAGAAAGTCGTGAAAAGATTGGTTGACTTTTTTTCTTTATTTTCTCTTTGACATTTAATTTTCCATCCCAGTAACATTTAAACAATATTTAATTTCTTTTACAGGGTTAAAAAACAAACAAATTCATTCTAGAATTCCTAAAAGCAGTGCTCTACGTGCCCGTCTTCGGACTCGACACATTTTTAACGCGTCGTTTGAAATGTTCAATGGTGCCCAAACACAAGGACCTGCTAACCCTTGAGTGTTTAAAGCCACATACACTGATATTCTGAATTAAGTGGCTTCTAGAGACAATAGGGAGTGGGGTGCCCAATAGACAGCATTTCTGGAGTCAACGTTTCCTGCAGGTTGAAAAACAGGCTTTGCACTAAACAATGTCATCGAGGAAATGAAACCGCTTTTCAAGACCATTGAGGAATCATAAATACATTGCCATGATCTGATTCATGTCATCTCAGCCTAGCGAAGATGAACATGGTACAGTCGTAGAATACAGACTGTTGAGGTGTGGGGAAGTCCTAGCTGCAGATTGTCCACGAACAGACATCTCATGGGAATCGACTACAGAAATCTGCACCCTGGTGACATTTAAAGGGCTGCGTATGGTGCGTGTTCGATCTGAAGTGGTCATTTTTGGGGGAAATTTTTAGTTTTGATTAGCTATTTATTCAAACTGACGGAACTTCTCTACTCACGACACCCAAAGGTCTTGAGGGCACGTATGAAAAGTAAGGGATGGTGAGTTTGTGCAGAGGCAATGTTCAATACAAAAAGCTCTCTGCTCTTTACTTAACTTAACTCACTCACTGCCATGCCCTAACCCTGTCGGGTGATCCGCGTAGACGCTGCCTGCCAAACCCAAAACCCGCCGGGTGCGTTTTTACTACTATTTTTCAAACATTCCCCGACGCGTTTCGGGCTTGGCAGTCGGAAGTAGGCGACATAAGCCAGTTTAGTTTCGATTCCGCATTGTTGCAGTAGCTTCCCTTGAATAAGCTACTTAAAAATCGGACTTTTCGAACTCGCCCGAAACGAACTACCAACGTTCAGTTACGATAGCGACGGCGTCTCAACGAGGTCGGAACATTTGAATTGATGGACCCATTTGTCAATAAAGGGTCAGATGATAGTGATGATGAACCATCATACAGAGTTGATAATGAGTATAGGAAAGGAAATAGGAGAGGTGCGGACTCAAGTGAAGATGAAAATTGTGTTACATTTAGGCCTAGATCTAGAATCGGGTGTTCCCCATGCTCGCTCAGACCTATGATCCGATGCTTCTCGGTCCCGTCACGCAAACGTCAAAGATCACACAACGTAGCTTTAGACCCCAAATGATAGGAATACAGCTGACATAGACCCTCCTATGTCTACATAACAAACTTCAAATAGTGGCACCCCTCGCCCAGCGGCCATGCCCCGTCCTGCAACCACACACCCAGATGTGTTGATGCTCAGGATGGGTGGACTGATGACTTAAATGATACAAAATTTGTCAGATATCTTTTCAAAGTGACTCTTCAACATTTGTCGGTTGATACAACATCCATTTCTTGCAGAGATAAAGATATAAAGGCATGCATATCGACTGAATGTACCAAGCACCTAAATGTTATGTAAAAGTTTTTTTTCTCGATTTTGCCACATATTGACAAACTCATAAAATTTCACAGTAAAGGTATCACAAAATTTTTTTGGGATTTGTTGAGTATGTTTCAATGTCATTGTTTGTGGAAAAGTTCAATGCTGTACACAAAATAATAAGCTCACGGTGAGGTTTGGAAAATGGTCCCGAAAGCCTGGCATTCCTCAGTTATCCTGCCGAGACATGCCTGGCAGTGAGTGAGTTAACCATGATCTCAGCAGGCAAATGAAATTTGGAAAATTAATATCTGCAGACTTCTGTAGACTTGTTAAGACTGCTGAAGCTTGCAATGTGGCGTGATTGTTGCAACTTTTAGTGGTATGCTTTTAATGCGAACTGGTGCGTCAGGTTACGAAGATGGGGACAGGGTTGAAAATGGGTTGCTTTTTTAAAATGTGCCATACAGAGCAAAACCATTCCATGGATTTATCTGAAATGAATATCAGATAATTCCTTTTGGCTTCCAAATATTATGTTCAAAATTGAAACGCAAAACTGCAGTATGGAGGAAGATATCTACAAAACAAGTTGTACAGTTTTTTCTTGGATCGCCATGTATTTCTCATTAGACCACTAACAAAAAAACCAACAACCCCCCCCCCCCCCAAATTATAACAAAAATCCCTTATGTAGTGCCAAAAACTTTTAGAAAGGTCCACAACCAAAACAAATCAAAAAGATTAGACAAGATTTCTTCACTTACCTTCCTTTGCCTATCCTTCTCGTGGAATAAGGAATTCAATGCAATGCCAACTTTCTTGATGTTATCTGGGGGTACTGAAAATGTATGAAAAGATTTTTAACTTGTTGCCTCATTAAGTGGGTAATGTGCATAAATAACAACCAAATGATGTTCACTGCATTACTTGATATTCTGTTTTGCCAATTTGGTAGGTCGAGGCTTCAGTACGTTTGAGAAAGGAACCACAGAGTGACTCATTTACGTTAACGGACATTAAGTTTTCAACGTCGCTACTTTAAAATTCTAATTCAGTTTTGGGTCCATATCCAAAGTAACTCTTTGGCATTCAGTAAGCACTCACTCAAATCATCTAACAGAAAGGAAACCTGAAATCCAATCCAAACCTCCAAGGAACCAAAACAGCAATATGTGAAATGAAAACTGTCACCAGTGACTGTGAGCAGTTCAAGCACAAGATGTTTTTTTGTGTGCAAGAATAGGCCTTATTGCCTTACACTTACAAGTAATGCATTGCTCTAATCACCAGTGGTTTCTGCCAAAGATCACACTAAGAACACAGCCTGCCAAAGAGCCCGCTTTTAGCATGTTAAAGAATTTATATGCCTTAGACCCTTTAAAAAATCCACTAAAGAGCCCGGTTTTAGTCAACAATGGCAACACTCAACACACTTTTCAAGCAAGTCTCTTCATGCCCTAACCAGTGCATGAACTATGTGACAATATAAAGTAAAATGCAGTTGGGATGTGCGGAGGAGGGAAAAAGGGAATGGAGTGAATTCACAACACCCCACACTTGTTTGAAACGGCACTACTGACTTTCACACGCATTGTCTCCTTCATACAAATATTAAAAAAACAAAACAAACAAAAAACATGTAATGTAAATATGCAGCAATTTTCATGAAGAAGGAAATAAGTGTGGCATGGAGCTGCAGACAGCAAAATTTATAAACAGTATATGTATGTGTACACTTACTAAAGATAGGTTTTTAGTTAAGCATTTGAGGTGTGTGCAAGCAAGTCCATCAGTTGATGGTTTCTGATCGATTCAATCTTTTCATTTCTCATGTTGTCAAAAACCTAGACCACTGTATCTTGGAAAGAAGGTACATATATTCCACCATGTCCTGGTGAAATCTTTGCTACACTGAGCCCCATATCGAGAAGGTACTATTTGTGAGGCATCTTGGTGAAATCAGGCGCTCGTGATAATAATGAAATCGAAGAAAACAGCAGTTTTCTCCCCCGCTAAGCAATTTTTATTAAATTTTTGTTTTTTTGGCACAACACCTTATATGTCCATTTACAAACAAAGTCCTTAGAGAATTTCACTGAAAAATGTGTATTAAAGGCACAAAAATATAATTTTAGTTTCCATGGAATTTACCAAGCTTTGGCGGCCACTTTCTCGTAAATTTTACCTCTTAAACCAGGTGACCCTCACCTCCTTCAATCCGAAAGATCTCCACTTCTATTGATGATGGATGGGTGATTTTTTAATTGAAAGCAAGACAAATGAACAAGCTTTTTAAGATGATACCAATAACTCAATATGCTCAAAACTGATTCCACCACGCTGCCTCACATTTGTCTTTAGAATTGAAATTATGGTCACTCCACACTGCTTGCAATGTTGAGGAATTCATCACAACAAATCTCCCTTTTTAAGCTACTGAAGCATTATTTCAAGTCCGTGTAACACATCCATCTATGAATAGATTTTTAATATAGCAAAGACAACAATAGCATAGTGGCAAACATATATACGTCACCACACAAAAATATCTGAATAAGTACACCCAAACCATTGCTGCACAGGAAAACGACAACAGTATTGAATACAGCATAACAAGGATGTCCTGAACCCCACTCACACCAGACTTTAAAATTAAGTGACTGTGATGTAAAAACATGAAAACTCCATAACTTAAATAACAAAGACCAAAGAGCACTATGGTGCAGATGTTATGACTTTACTTCGGTTGAGTATTTACTGCACTGTTACTGTTTGCAGACACAAATAACATTAACAAAGAAAACATACTCACACGTCACGGAAATATCGTTTATGAGTTTTTCCAAAAACTCTCCATAAAGTTTACTGCTCTGTGGGTAAAAAAATAATCATACACAACATTACAAATAAAAACCAGGTGAAGCTAAACCAATAGAATTAAAACAAAAGTACAAAGAATTTTTTTTTAGCATATATATATATATATATATAATGTGTTCAACACAATAAGGCAACATTTTGATTCACAAAAACTGCCAGCCTTAAAGCTGGTGGCTGGGAGCTCCCAGACATAAACTTTGCAATTACGCAAAGTAAACATGTAAATTCAATGCCCATGGGGGACTATTTCCCCCCTTCCTATTGATTGTAATGACATAGGATTGAAATGAAAAAAAAAAAAAAGCATGTTAACACAATGCTTCGATGTTTAAAATCTCTCCAGACAGATAATATCTGACACACAGCAAGAGTCTTTTGCTTGTCCAACAGAAACTACTGCTGATTTTGGAACTGGCTGGAGAGACAAAAACTTGTGTACTGGGTACTTGATAAGTGATTTAGAAATCTGAAGTGCAACTTGAAACAGTCAAAATGTCATTAGCACCATGTTTTTATTACTGCAAAGCAAATTATATTGTCCCTAAAATAGTTACGAAGAACACGCCCCAAAATCTCAGCATCTATAAATTTCAGAATTTAAAGCTTTATTCATTAAATTCATTAATGATGTTGACAACATGGCTGTCTCACCTCGAAAAAAGTAATTTTCGTTTTCAAAGCTTCTGCAAACTCATCAAACTCTTCTTTGGTTTCCGGAAACATTGAATCAATTCCTTTAGACTGGACACCTGGTGAAAAGAAATTATAATATCATCAAAACAACTGAGGGGGTGGTATGATTCACCAAAAAAGGGTGCTTGTTTCACATGCATAACTCTAATCAGCCAGAAAGAATGCTATGGACTTTTCTGAACATCCAGAAATAAATCTGCTTTGTCATTTAAACATCCTATAAGCATTTGTACCACAATTATGGATCTAGATGTACCTCGCTCAAAATGAAAAAACAAACTTGCCCAACTGCCTGCAACATCAGGAGAGCTGATAAAGAGACCGAATGCAGAAAACACAACAGGTGTACTGTGAAAGAATTTGATAATAAATCTTGTTTCGGAAAGTGACATGGACTCTAGATCCAAAACTGTTGGTGATGCAACAAGCTGCCACTCCAAAAATATGCCTTCCAAGTGTCTAATTTAAAAAAAAAAAAGGGTAACATGTCTATTTCTAACTTCACCAATATTATACATTCAGATCTGGAAAACTGGCCGGTAGCATCTGCGTTTGTTGCCATTTTTTTGTCCAAAAGTTGCAACAAAAACGGCAAAAGTTGCCATTAATTTTCAAGCTTTCAACTAGCTGTGACGACGCAATACATTGATAGAAGTAACTTAATCTAAAGCACCAGAATTTCTTATGCTCTGTTTTAAGCATCCAGAATATAATTTGTAGACACATAGAGTGTAAAAACGTGAAAAATAAAGGTTTCGCAACAGAATGAAATTAAAATTAAAACAGCACACAAACAACCGCAAAAAGTAACAAATAAGGGCGTGTGTCCACCTATCCTAAACGTGCTTAATTCAAGAAAAAGTACAGGATATTACATGTAAATTATGGAATCACACACAAGGGGCCTGCCAGTGTCAGTATTTGGTTTTGGTGGAGACACGCTCTAATATAACACACACATATATATATATTATTTTTAAATATAAAAAAAAAAAAATATAGGAACATCAAATTAAATGACATTAGGCTATATAAAGACACACAAATAGAAGGAAAATTAACACAACAACAAAGAGGGAAAAATAAAAGACAAACAGCAATATAAGATTCGTAAATAGTATGTAATGTACTTATTATTCTTCGTGTGAAAATAACTTTACAGGGACACCTTAAAATGATCAAAATACACGTTTATGTAATGAAGCAGCCTTTTCTTTTTGAAAAATGCAAAAATCGTGGCAAAAAAAAAATGCCGAAAATCGCGGCCGCGACAAACGCAGATGCTAGATTAGGGGAGTGAAAATGACATGCTTTCTGTTATTCTGGCAAAAGGAAGTACATAGAAACGACACTGAGCGTGTTGATATGAGTTAAATATCTGAATCGATTTATAGTACTTGCAACCAGTCTGTTGACCGTATAAAAAAAAAGGCCAAAGCCATACTGATTTTTCTGAAAATATTTGGATGCAAAAAACAAAAACAAAAAAAATTACTGTCAGCAGGAACTTTGACATTTCCATGAAGAACAAGCAGGTGAAAACTATACGTTGAAACCTTACAGTTTCTTTACAGTATAACCTTTGAAAAAGAAATCTTCAAATTAATGGAACATTAAAACAGCGTACAATAAAAAGCAAACTGACCCAGACATTAGAGTAAGATCATAGAAGTGCATAAATTCAGTTTCACATTATACAAAGGAACAGATGCTCTCATGAGGAACCAATACAGTATATTCCACTTATATCGACATGGTCTGGGAAGGGGATTTGATGTCGATACATGAAATATAAAGCCAAAGAGGGAAAAAATAAGGAAAGGTCAGCGTAAAAAGACAACACTACTTTTTAACTCTTATCCTGCGTCTGTGCCCAGATGTGTATCTTATCAGCAACCGATTACGTCGGACGTGCCGGGCAGGCCGCCGGGGTAACTCAGTGTGTACTGTTGGTGAACAGTGCGCGCGCCGGGAAATGTGTGTTTTCGCCATTAATACCGCGGGAGTGTGTTAACCGATGATGAAAATAACGCTTTATCTTTCATAGCTTTCTATTTATTAAGTGTAACAAACACATGAATAACCCCCTCTCACAAGCTAATAAGACATTACGAGTAGTTACGCCCATTCGAATAACCTTTCTGGACGCTCTTTGTTGTTATGAATGACCTGAGGATCGAAAGGGGATAATTTAGGTCAATTTCCGAATGTTTTACATTCAAATTGTTCTTTGTACCTGCACAATGGTATTCAAAACTATCAAACAAGCTTATTTTTTATCAGGTAGTATCATTTCATACAAAAATCAAGCACATTTGAAATATTTTGTATAGAAAAATGGAAGTCTTGTTTCCTGACTATCCTTTCGCGCTCCTCATGTCTAAGTGGGTCAATTTCTTCTATAATTTCATTGGACGAACATCTAGAGCTACCAACTTGGCATGTTTTGAATGATACGTATGCCTCGATTATGAACCAACGCAGACTGTTCTAGAAGAAGGCCACAAACGCACACAAACTCAAGCAGACTGACGCACACACACTTGACCTGCGTGAATGGGGATCCGACTTGGGACCCGAATGACACGTAAGATGATGCGCGCTGCGCGTGCGCTGAGCAAGGGGCTACACTGATTCGGGACCAGAACGTAGGCGAGGTGCCGAAATAGGCTTATCGGGCGACATAAACCCGGCTCCCGCAGGATGAGGGTTAAAGCTGGTTGCTTCCCTTTATTCTTACACAACTACACAGTGAAACTAACAAGAGGCAGAGGGGAGGGTAGGTTGCAGTTACGGTACCAAAGACCGTCCAACGCGAGGCGCACACTACACACAAGCGCAAACTTTGTTGTAGCATCCTTGTATGGCCTGTTTACCGCCACGTGCTGGGGAAAATGGAAAGGTGAGGCACTGACTCATGTGGCATTTGCCAGCGACAAACTGAGAATGGGATGGGGAAGGGGGGTGAGCGATCGAGAATGGGGGTAGGGAGGTGATGCCACTCACGTGCGAGAGGCATTGTACTGTGTTGGACGTTGGAGACTACACTGTGTAGGCCCTACATGACCTACTGAAGCCTGGTGTGTCGGAATAGGCTACTTTTCGGGTATGCAGAATGTTAACTCACTTGCGACTGGGCCCTTTCACCAGTCACAAGCGTTGAAGACTGGCGTTTTTGGGGGTATTTCAATAAATCACCACAACTCTCAGAATTACCCTATTGTAATTATTTTTGACACAGTAAAGTAACATTCAAGCTTAATCTACTACAAAAAACCAAAGTTGTCTAAGTTTAATACTTTAATTTGTATGATTTTTTAAAAATTGGCATGAATTTGATTTTCCAAAAAATTTCCAGAGACGTGACAAGTGGAATGAAATTCACTACAACAACAAAAATAAAAGTTCAAAGTGTTCTGGTTTGATTTGTATACATGTGCGAGTGTTTGGTGAAAATATAAAAGCTGGTCTGTGCATTGATTCAGACCCATACACTGAAAATACATAGACAGATGTACGGCACGGCGTTGTGATTTCGTTGCGCGAAAAACAACACCGGTACTAGTGCTAGATCTAGCCCTAAAACTACGACTCGGGCCGTGTTCAGGTACATATCCAGGATCCTAACTATTAGACACATCATATTCTGAGACACTAAAACTAGTAAAACATACAGAAGTATAGAAAACGGCGAAATTATGTGATTCTGGTTCATGCGACTTCTTCGACCGTTACTACGACGCGACTGTCGGATTACTATCAGCTGTATAGAAAAAAACAAAGCGCGAGTTCCGGTCTGTTCAACCCCAGTTGGGGTCACTGTCCTTCACCTTCAATAACTTAAAAACTACCGGCCCCAGAGATACGAAACGAAGTCTAAGTAGCTCAGGCTTGGCCAAACAAGGGTACGAGGCGGGTCTCGCGATCCGTGCGTGATTTGTAGAGCGAAAAAAAAATTCCAAAGTGGGTCACGCAACTGTTGTGTGACCCGTCTGAAGTGAGTTAATGAAAAACTAATGTGTTGACCGTTAGTGTGGCTTTTTCTGCCATTTATGTTCGTGGGCATCACCAGTTACCCAGGACGCATGCCGATAAAGCAGAATGGGCAGAAAAAAGTCTATATAAGAGGAATTGTTTAGTGAAGATATTAAAGGAAAAATTTCGTAATTGGAAAATATGTTGATATGTCAAAATGTCGATACAAGTGGATTATACTTAGTAATTATTAGATCAATAGAGAACATGCATAAGATACTGGAAAGGAAACAATAACTTTACTTCCTCATCCAAGGACAACTGTATCATTTAATTTTCATTTTAAAGTGATAACATTAGGATAGTGTGATACTCTATAACAAAAGTGCCAGTCATAAGAAATGACAGTTCTTGCCTTGACAAGTTCACCATCGTAGCAGAAAAACTCAAGTGTCTTTAGACAGCTAGTACTAACAGCACCCACAGGAAACAGGAAAACATTGAGGAACATGGAAGTAAGATTTACCAAATAATCCTTTGGCGAGCTTCAAATCAGCCTCTTCTTGAATTTTCTGTAGGCGTATTTTTTCTGCAAGTTTTTCCTCCGCAGTCAACTCTTTCTTTTCAGCCTGAAAACACAAGAAAGGACAACCGTGACAATTTAAATCACAACATGGGATCTTTAAGAAAATGTTGGCAGCATGCCGTACAATCAAAAACTTTTTTCCCCGTTGGGGCACGAACACCTGAAGGTGAGATAAGCTCACCTCAGAATACCACCATTACAATGTTACAGGGGAACAGAGAGAAAAACAACCAGATGCACGTGCCCGCCATTGCCCTATTTCAAATGACCAATGAATGGGCTCCGAATAGTCATGCAGGGATTTGCAGGTCCCATATATTTGCCGAGGGAGTGCAGAGAAAATGGCCAGCCTCTGTGTTAAGCCGTTCTGGACAGGGGGGGGGTGGTAGCGGTACATTTATGATAAATTCTAAACACCTACTTGACATAGAACTTTCAAATTTGAGGAAAGATAGATCCTTTACCTTCTCCACATTGAAAATCAAGCTCCTTGTAGTTGAAGGAATACCTATACGAAAGTGTTTCCGCCACCAAAAATATAGGTTAATTTATGTGTGCAACCTTCAACGTCCATATAATCATTAATTTGCCCTAAATTCTGATTGGTTGCCAAGTTTCATTCACATTGATCTAGAAATAGAGTCAACTGATTTTGAGAAAGTTAGTCAACTACGTTCTCATCCGGTCCAAAAATACACCCGCAAACGGGGACAAAAATTTGTTTGCAACGATAGCCCGATAGGCATTGTTAACTTCCATTACTTTCCGAGTAACAAGCATAAAGTAGGTATGTTATTAGATAATTGAATCATAAAACACAAACAGCTTAAATACGAAAAATAACATGTTTGAGAAATAACTTACAGATACCAATTCTGCTGCCTCTTGTTTGGCACGATTTTTCTCTGCTATTCTCTCAGCCAGAGGTTTTTTCTTAGGCCGCTGGTAAGCTAAAAAGGAACAAAAAATGGCATCAAATTAGTTTCACAAAATAATTGATGAGCAATCCTGCGTTTAATTGTCTTATTAGAAAAATATTTGTAAAATTACAGTAATGTCCACAACAAACTTTACTATCAGTACCACCTAGGTACATAATCATGCTAAATCATTATATAAATCACACTGTCAACTGTAAAAGTCAATGATAAGACGGACCGAGACTAAATAATAACTCCCCCACACACACACATACTGACACTGCTGAAACTGGATACACAAAATCATTAATTATCCCTCTGTTAACAAAAATTCTAATTTCAGTTATAAAATTCATTCATAATTTTAGTCTTTCCATTTAACCATATCCATACGCCCTGGTGTCATTTTGTGCCCCCAGGGTTGTATTCTTCATATTTTAGAATACTTCTAGTACGAAGATCTCTTTGAAAATTTAAGTATTTCTCAAAAAATTATTTTGACAGACTGTTATGCAAAGCGCACAGATTGGATTAACGAACAATTTCCTCTTTGAAAAAAGTGGTGGCACAGAGTTCCCCATGTTGTATGGATACGATAGTAAAACACGATGTACGAATAGGATTAACAATGAGTACAATCACACAGGAAAAAATATTACAAAACAGAATGTAGAATATCATACCTGTTGACGTACTGTCTTCACTTGCATCGGCTGGCTTTTTCTCATCGTCGTCATCTTCCCAGCTCTCCTATACAACACAAATAGAAAATATTTTTACTACTTATCATCACTATAAAATTTTCAAATGACAGCATATAAAAGCATGAGTGAAAACAAATACCAAAAAATACATTGAAATTGTGGGGAAAGGCGGGATACAAATGCTCTTATTATTAATATTATTATACATCAATAACTCAAAAAGTAATGGTTTGCAGTGGAAACGAAGTTGATATTCATTTTCAGCTGACAAAACAAAACTAGAAAAGAGCTACTAAATCTAGTAATGCTTTGTAACTTGTGGACCCGTGTCGTGTATGCAGTTGCACTGTTCTGGGTGCTAATCTACCATTTCTTACTGTAGAACTCACATATATATATGGGAAGGCCACTAAAACTGTCGAAAATCAATATTTGTAAAAATATCAAATCTAATTGTAAAACATCAAATTATGGTGAAATTAAGGGGGAGGGGCGCACTCCCCCTGATACCCCCTAGCCCCATAATTTTTTTTTTTAAGTTTTAGTTTTAGGAAGGTTTTACGGCACTCGCAACTGCATAAGGTCATATATGAGCGCCAGAAGATTGGAGGTGTTACAAGAGAGTAACAAACATAAAAAAGAAGAAGGGGAGATAAGGACGATAGATGTTTCATAGGAAAGAAGGAGCAAACCACACCAGAGCACCGCCAACCACCCACATTTTTTAAAAAGTCAACCCTCCTCCCTCCTAAATACAGGGACAAGTCCACCATGAGTAAAATAATCGCTTTTAGTAGGCTACAGTTGTAATGGAACGTTTGTTCACAGCACAGAATTCTACAATTTTTCTGTTATCACAGTGTAGAATTCTGTGGTTTAGGGTGAACGCAAAATTTGTTGGCCTAGATCTAGGCTATAACAGTGAACGCGCACCAGGTGAGAATAGCCAAAAGACTAGCCTGCACTGTTCTCATCCCGGGTGAGAATAGAGGTAGCCTTCTTGGACTGCTTTTGCTAAGGGAAGTGGCTATTCTCATCCGGGGTGAGAATAGAAAAACGATCTACCTCTCACCCCGGGTGAGACTTGCCAGCGTAGGCTATTCACTATTCTCACCCGGTGCGAAACAAGACCTGCTTTTCCTCATTTTGGAATACTGTCTATCGGTGTGGATGATCAAATTGATAAAAGCCAAGAAAAAATTATGTTATAGCACAAAAGTAAGCTAATTTGATCGTCCTTTAAGATGCTATGGCCATTTCACTGTTCGAATCGAGCCAAACTACGCGGGTCGCCATTTTGTTTTGCCCGGAAGTTCTCGCAAGATCTACTCCTCCCCTTTCTCTCTCTCTCTCTGTCTCTTTCTGAATACTGTCTATCGGTGTGGACGATCAAATTGACCAAAACAAAGTTAAAAAATGATGTTAAAACACAAAAGTATATTTATTTGGTTGTCTACAAAGATGCTACAGCTATTTAACTTTTCGAATCGAGCCGAACTACGCGGGTCGCCATTTTGTTTTGACCGGAAGTTCTCGCGCTACTCCTCTCTCTGTCTCTTTCTCTCTCTCTCCACTGCCCACATACAAAATTGTACGCTTTTAGTAGGCTACAGTTGTAATGGAACGTTTGTTCATGGCACAGAATTCTACAATTTTTCTGTTATCACAGTGTAGAATTCTGTGGTTAAGGGTGAACGCAAAATTTGTTGGCCTAGATCTAGGCTATAACGGTGAACGCGCACCGGGTGAGAATAGCCAAAAGACTAGCCTGCACTATTCTCATCCCGGGTGAGAATAGAGGTGGCCTTTGCTAAGTTACAAGCCTTAGAAGAACAATTAAATCTACTACTAGATCTAGATCTAGTTTTACTTCCTTCTAGTCATGCCATGAATCATGAAATGATGACACATTGAATTGATAATTGATGAGTCACCATGTCCATGCCATGGATGTCTTGTACCATAACAATGGACTAAGAGAAGGTGAAACAGACAAATAAATGAGACAAACACCCAGGACATTTTGATTTAAGCTAACGAAATTTGCTAAAAGCAGGTCTTATGGGAGAGTTTTTAGAATTAAATCTAGATCTAGATAGATTCTAGATCTAGATCTAGAGATAGATTAGTAACATAACGTTCAACTCCAAACTTCTTTCTTAGCCGTAATCGAGGCCAATCGAAAATAGGTTACCTTCACATCCTCGTCTTCGTCTTCCCCTTCCCACTTGTCTGTGGCAGCATTTCCACCTGGAACAGCAGGCTCAAAATCTTCGTTTTCTGGAAAACAAATGAATTCAACATTGTGAAGCTAATAAGAACACTTTGAAAGGACAAACCAAGACAAAATATTCAATTTTTATGACCAATATGTCCCACATGTTCCCTTACCCCAATCATCCATCTTGGTGTGTATAAACTCTACGGTACGAAGAATGGCAGCCTTTGTCAATCATCCTCTCTTCATCCGCACTTTAGCCTATCGCCAGAATCGCCGGGTGTAGGTCTAGTATCGATAATGTTTTCCTGGGCGTCTTTCCGATTCCAATCTTGAAATTGGAAGTTAGGGCGTTATTAGGGCCTGCAACAATGAAATCACTATTTATCAGAATCACGAGCCAAAAGTAAGAATTGATAAGCGAATGAAACTGATATACGTTCGATTAAAGTCTTTCAGTACTCCTATTTTGACTTTATGTCAACTGTTTTTCCAACTGCTGAATTATTTTTTTTGACATTGCAAGTATCAAACAATGATAATACATAACAAGATGGGCCACTCAGCCAAAAAAGTGTCCGCAGGAAGTATGCTCTTTGCTTCAGATGGCGCTGCAGTCTGTTTTGAAGCTCTCTTTCGTTTTTCCAGAAGAAGAATAGGAATAGCACCTCCTTGCGTGCGCAGATCGACTGCTGTTCATCAGCAGTTCGGGTACGTTCAGTGCGGAGTTTTAGTTTTTTTTATATTTTAATGACCTCTCGCCTTTCATTCTAAAGTCAAATTAAACAAAGAAAACCATCACCCTTTCCTCCGGAAGAGATTTTTTGTCAGCGTAACCATTTTAAAAAAGCGTTCTTCCGAAATTTATCCAAAAAACTTGCTAGTTTCACTTTGATTTTGTAAAACTCAAGTAGGGTAACTCTGTTCGCAAAGAGTGCGCTTTTGTGAAGAGGGCGCCACCAAATTTGGAGGACACTTTTTTAATTGGCTCAAAGAGAGAAGTGGCCCATCTTGTTATGTACTATCATTGTATCAAAGCAAGTATTCAAAAAGGTATCGACTGGATTTTTCGGTTTCACCCATAGGCCTAGAGTTATCTCTTTTTATATCTTTGATATAGTGTACATCTATGGTTTCACCAGAGAGGGTTCATCAAAGATATAAACTCTCTGGTTTCACAATGCTTCAATCACATGAAGCAGTCAGACTTGTTCTCTCTGTTTGTCATGGTGTTATCAGGACTGTATACCTTTATCAACTTTCCCTCTCCCTGCCTTAAATTTCTCAAATGTTTCCCTCGTCATCAAGTTCGTCGTATGGGAAAAGGAAAAAAAAAAGGGGGGGGGGATGCACAGTTCAATGTACTCTGTTGGGGTGTTGTTGATGTTGTTGTTTTTTTTGGGGTTTTTTTAGGGGGGGGGGGGGGTACCTGAGGATACGTCCTTTCCTTTCCAACTACTTTCAAGAATTTGCATTATTTCAGAGTACTAGAGTCTATATTAAAATTTTTTCGAAAAACGTTACTTAGATAAGTTACCTTCTTATCAAGGCCCAGAATTCTGTGCCCATCACCTATCTAAAAGGAAACCTTTAGATCTATTCTATTTTTCAAGGTGTATAATTGACAGACAACGCGCTCTTCATATAAAAAGCCAGGCACATGTTTATAGTATATAAAAAAGCAAAAGAGTGAAAAAATAAAAGGTAGGCCTAGAAAACATACATGTACAATATGGTTCCCCCAAAGATTGTAAACATAACAAGATTGTTCACACGATCTTTGCCCATCTTTGCCCGCAGTCTTAGCCCAAGGAGGTATACAGCAGTCTAATGGAAAAGAGGTTCGAATACAAGCAAAAATTCATGAATGGTCTACAAGCCATATTCACGAGCCCCTTGTAGTGTGCATGGTCTAGGAATATGAAATATTGGAAATAACAGCAAGCAACGATCACAAATTACAACAACTCGCCGCTCATTTTCCTAAAAGAATCCATACACATTTCAATATAGGCTAGGATGCCCAGTATTTATTCATTGTGTACGGAGTCGATGCTACGTTATGAAACGAAACTCCAGGCTATGAAGATCGTATCCTTTTATCCAAATCAAAACAACAGACTTGAACAGAGACTGTGATCTGTTTAGGCCTAGGCTACTCTGAGAAACGGGAGGCGCAGCGTCTGCTTCAGCTTCGGTATGTAAGTTTGTATAATCGTGTTTGCTTTTGAATACTTCCTTAATCTTTTGGTGTTCAGTAATATACCTCTGCCTGTTCCTTTCAAAAAATCAAAAGATCTAGATCTAGATTCTAGATATAGATCTAGGACTAGAGTGATTGGACCCCATACGAACCATTACCCAATATGAACCACCCGTCGCTTGTTTCGTTTATGCGGTGAAAGGGAAGACCAATTTCGTGGTCTAACCTATTCGCGAAGGCGTGGCTTTCATCCTTCTTCAATTTTATGTCGGTTGGCTTGCTGTTTACGTCTTTGTTTGATCACAGTGCTTCATCAAAGTTGCGAACCGAGGTAAGTTATTGATTTTTCCCCGCCATCTAGATCTAGATCTAGATCTATCTAGATCTAGATATTCTAGATCTAGATTCTAGATCTATAGATCTATAGATCTATATCTACATCTAGATATAGATATAGATCTAGATAGATCTAGATGTCTAGATGTTACTACTGTTGTAATTTGTCAAAGTAAGAGAGAGTCTGTGGCGTCGGTTAGGCTACCGGACTCGTAATCGTGAGATTGTGAGTTCGGGGGTTCGAGCCTCAGCTCAGTCCGACGTTGTGTCCTTGGGAAAGGCACTTTACACGAACTTCCCACTTGGCTCGGTCCTATAAGAGACGGACGTTAAAACTAGGAGGTCCCGCCCCTTAAACCTAATAGTGTTGATAGGGGCGTTAAACCTACCATTTCACCATTTCACCAGAGAGAGTCTTAGTCTTAGTTAAGAGTAAGACAGCCACCCATTTCATCAGTATGATCTGTCATCTGGGAAGGAGTTCCGCAGAGGGCCAACCGACCAACAACGCACAAAAGAGGGATATAACTGGTAAATTTAAAGAAACAGTCCCGTCTCATAAAGTAGGGTATTATTTTGTAGCTTTATTAATTTCTTTACTTTATAGGGTAGGTTGGGGCAAACCCGACCATGGGCCTCCAATCATGGGGCAACTTCGACAGCCTCAACCTAGAGACTTGGCTTTTGAGAATCATTTGACCCCTGTGTCGTGGAATTATCAAAGCCCACTTTTATATTCGTATCGTTGCACATTTGATTCTATCTAAAAATAAAAATTGGGCTTCCTAGGCTTCCATATTGTGTGTTTCTTTTTTTAGTCAGAAAGCTCCAGAAAACACCCATCCAAGTCCTGCACTCCGTTGCCGCGTTCTTTTCGCTCTTGAAGAAAAAAAAATCGATGTTTCCCGTCATTTACTTAACACGCTTGTTTTCTTGCTTCAAAGTATTCATCAGTAATGTATTTAACCAAACTTTGGTATCCTTAGTTCATAAATCCAACAAGAAATGTTGATTTTATATGAATTTACATGATATAATATTTAAAATGATAGGGTGAGATTTTGATGGTTGGTGCAAATTCGACAGGGCGAAACAGGCCAACTGCGACATGGGGGTGGGCCAATTTCGACCTACCAGCTTCATAAGCAGATCACCTTTAACAAACTATCACTATCACATTTCATTAATCTTGTTTGTTTTTTTATCGTTTTCATCATGGGTCGAAATTCCTTGACCGGTCAAATACAAAACAGCAGAAATTTAGTTAGACTCTAGATCTAGACTGCTCAACTATCATTTTTCAGAGCCAAGTGTGTGTGTGGGGGGTGGGGGTTGGGAGGGTGTGAGGAGTGAGAAAGAGGGAGAAAGTGTGTGTGCGTGTGTGCACGTTGGCCTATGATGTGAGTGCGTGTCTTCGTGTGTGCGCGTGCTTGGAGAATGAGGGAGGGGGGGGGGAAGGACTGGGGGAGAGAGAGAGATATAGACAGAGAATTCAGCATTCTTGAGGAGTTGAGAGAGAGGGGGGCACAATAAGTTGAATAAGAACCCAGTGGCCTACTGTTGAAGATATCCACCCCCTGTCGAAGTTGCCCTCAGCCCCTGTCAGTCAGTATTCTTGCTCTTTCAGGCTATATCGAAGTTGCCCCATACGGTGGATCAAATTCAAATTTGCACCACCCCCTGTCGAAGGTGCCCCAAGCGAGGGTATGCCACAAAATCGTGATTGGTTGAAAATTCAGAATGCAAATAGAGTGAAGAACTATAATAATCGAGAAATAGAATGGCTGTTTGACACAACGATACCTAGATAGTCTGTGTTCTTTCATAAAGGTGGCTGCAATCGTTTACTTTTGCGGCACTACACAAACCTGTTGAAGTTGCCCCAACCTACCCTAGGCGCTTTTTCGGTAGTTCTCTCCCACTTATTTGGGCCTAGGTCTAAATCTAGTAGTAATATGTTTGATACGCGGCGAGCGAGAGATATCAAAGCTAACAACTGCTATTATATATCAAATTATTGTAACATTCAGGGGGGGCAAGCCCCCCTGAACCCCGCCCCACCTTATATTTATTAAGGGGGCCCTAATCCTGCTTAACACCTAACCTTTAAGCCTACTATCCCTAACCCAAACCCTAACTCAGACTTCTCAGTCAACTCAGTGGACCTTTTCTTAAAACGCTAAGTCTAGGTTTTGTCTGCAAGGTGACAGAATTTAACAGGGTTGACTTCTTGTAATTGGGTTTTTATTAAGAATAATTTCTAGCTTTCTAGTGACGCTCAATCAACACTCAGACCTTTACAGCTTTTATTTTCATTTCAATGAGCATTTGCAATAACTGACAATGTTCTGATTTTCATTTATAAGTGTCCGCACATAATTGCAACTCAAAAACTAAGAATGAATGTGTTATCTGTCTTTATTTTTATACCATACAAGAAGCTCTCTCTACCCATGTATTTACACAGTTTTGTGATTTTTAAAAATTGCATATCTTTTTCAGTTGTATGCAGGCTGCCACAGACACTGCATGATTCATGAACAAACACAGAGTAACTTTCTCTTGTACAATGGTAAAATAAAAGCTAATGCTGAGTGTCTTTTGCTAAAAAAGGCAGATTTGCATCTTTCTTCTCTTACATAGATTGACAATTTTACTAATTGTGCAGATTTTAGATTTCTTTCATGATAAAAGACATGATATTTGTAGTCAGTTTAATACATATTTTGGAGAGATCTTTTTTAAAATAAACAATCATTTAAGTATGTCACTGAAATAGGACAAATTGGGTACTCTACAAACACTTGTCTAAAACAAAAACTAAGGCACAGAAATTAACAGTTCTAACGCAGAATAATCTCAAGACATTGAGCTTTTTTATTCTTCAGTGTAATGGGTTGCTGCTGTGTGGGATGAGGAAGAAGTTGTATCGTTTCAAAAGTAGACAAAAATGCGAACTTCTTAAGCGACACCAGCAATTCACTTCAGGGCCCTCCATTAGCCCCATGACCCCGAGCCAGGGAGCTCCGGCGGGCTGCTGAGTCACACGAGCCAAAGTAACAGAATCGGGCTAAAAGTGACACCTTTTGTCGCACACAGCAAACGCTTGCTGCCAGCTCTCTGTGACGTCACGGCTGAGTAAATCGTAGCAGCTGATAGGACAATTACTTTATTTTTATCGACCGGAATATCAGGGGAAACACCGTACTCATGGACTAGGATGTAATGAAGGTTCCCTACAATTTGCCACCACAGGTAATTGGGTTTGATTTCAGTTTTAGTTTTTCTCAAGTTTGGTGCTGATATGGATGGACTTCAAGATACTGCATATTATATCTTTCGAGTATTTATAATGTTTTTTGCAGAATCAGAATGAAAACACTTAGAGATAGATTTCCATAGATTTATGCTTAGGCCTACATTGTAGATAGCTATGTAATTGAGCATTTGGTTAATTAGTTATGCGCATAAACAGTGTTAATTTATAGTATAATCAAACATTTAAAACCTTTTTTCCCCTTTGCAAACATAGATTTGTATACATCCACATGTTACTGTTATAACAGAATGGACATGTGTATACATATATTAACAAACCATGACCATGTTCATTTAAAAAGAATGAAATTTGCATAATTAATTTGCTATTTGCATATACAGTCAAACACGGCTAACTCATGTTCGTCGGGGATTGGAATGTGTTTGAGATTTCCGTAATTCGTCATGTCAGTGAAAGCCCCAGCCAAATATTTAGAAATAGAGAGAAAATCAAGAGAGGTAACAAGATCATTAAACCAATTAACATGGTTATCTTCTTTGATGAATGTGTTGACAGTGTGAAAGCAAGAAGATGCATGAAAGTAGAAAGCAGAAAATCTCATGTGTGCACAGCTGACTCCCACGTCATTCCTTTCCTCTCATTTCATTGGCTTACAAAAAGTTACGCCTCTTGCCATCCGCACCACGAGCGTCCCACAGCATGATTGCACGTGTAGCAAGCCAGCCATGCAGTGCAGTCAGCATCACTCCCCAACCCTTGTTCCCCACCCGCCTTTCCTCCAGCCTCTCGTGGTCAGACAAGGACCACGTTTTGGCTGTAACAATAACAAAGAAACACCTACCCGCGGCCTGAAAGGCTGTAAAGCTGGGTCTTTAGTTGAGAATGCGAAATGGATTTGTTTCAGATTTGAGGGTTGCGTGTTCCCAGTGTTCGGGAACCCTGTGAAGTCAAAAACGAAGAAAACATAGGGACTGAAATGGGACAGAGCATTATGTTCGAGATACCCGAGAATTCGTGACTTTTGTGTTTGAGATTCGTGGACTCTGTAGTTATGTGGGTACAAAGATTACATCTTTAATTCTTTTAATTTCAAATTAGTTGCCCCCAAAAATACAAAACCTTTAATTTTCAGCTCATTCCGTCCATAAATCTAGTAATATGTGAGGTAGCGTGGTGAAATCAGGCGCTCGTCAAAATAATGAAATCCGAGAAATCAGCATTTTTCGGCCAGGTTGCACATTTTTTCAGAATTTTTGTTTTTTGGCTCACATCGTATATGTCATTCAAGACACTTACATGTGTAGATTTTATGGAAAAACGTTGATAAAAGGCTCACAAAAAGTAAATTTGCAGTTTCCAAGGGCTCTCAAGCTATGGCAGTCCCCAAACTTTGGAGGCCATTTTCTCGCTAATTTTACTTTTGAAACCAGGCGACCCCATCCCTTCAATTGCAAATACAGTGGAATCCTGTTATAACGAGAGGGAGGGGACCGGAGCAAAATGTCCGTTATAGCAGGATTCTCGCTATAAGGGATCCAGTAATAAATTCAAGGGAAACTGTAAAGTAGGCTCAATCTATGAGTTTGGTGTTCTGTTTATTTCCTTTTGCTATATCCCCTGATGATGATTTTGTTTCAATGTGACCTCTAGGTCTTACTTGATCAAAAATAGAATCAGGTTTCTTTCTCTAGGGCTAGAACTAGCGATATGGACTGACAGCTCGGCATTGGCGATCAGAAAGAAAGGGCTCTGGGCTAACTCACCCGCTTTGTTTTCCCCCACCCCACCACACCCTGTGGTGCTTTCTGTCTGCTTGCGCACGTCACACATTGGCTCCATCCATCACATTGCTGTGACCTCTCCATCCCCGCATCGGAGAAGTGAGAGGCATGGTAGGCCTTGATAATCTAAACTAGGCTTAAGCTGGCCTATCACGCGATGCGTTTTGCTTGTCTGCGCATGCCACACCCTCCCCACTCATTCGCTACGGCCTTCATTGTTGACACACGTGGGCTCTCCTATTCTTTGTTTCGCAAGATCACCAACAAGTTTCTCAACTGGCGGGGTTTTGCGTTATGTATAATTGGCATATGCGCTGTGCACAGCAGCAGCAATATTCCGCTATAACCGACTCACATGTTTGTCTCATAGCGCTATAGCAGTATTTTATTTACAAAGGTAAAGAAGGGAAAAAAACGGGGTTTTAGAATTGTGTCTTAATAACAGACTTCTAGTTTTTTCCGGACTCGTTATAAGTGGACTCCACTGTGTTTCGACTTCCATTCAAGATAAATGGATATTTTTTCCCTCAAAAGCAAGGCAAATGAATACCCTTTAAGATGGTATCAATAACTCCATATGCCCAAAAATTGACAAGCGCCTGATTCCACCACGTCGTGACACATATGTTCACTAGCATTACACCATCACAATAACTACCCTTGAATGTTTTCAATATCTCTATGATTTTTCTTTTCATCGGTTTACTCTGATGTGTTTGAGTTACAGTCGAACCTGCCCTGACAGCCACCTCTATAAGACGGCCACCTGTACAAACGGCCACTTTCCATTTCCCCCATTGCGTTTTTTCTACATCATTTAACTCTGTAAAATGGGCACCTGTCCAACACGTCCGCGGCCACCATATTTTAACATACAACCCCTCTCACACTAAGCAATAACACCTGTCTTAGACGGCCACCTTAGTGACTCCATTACGTTTTGTCATAAAATTGTGCATTGGGACATGGCGTTGTGGGCGAGCCATCATAATCCAATCACCTGTCGTTATTGTTGGGTAGTCCCTCCAACTCCAACCGATCATGTTGCATAGGCCCTTCCCACTGTTAACCAATAGATAACAAATTTTCAGCTGCTGGTGAGGTAAGCATGTGATCCCTCATAACCCATAAGCCCCGCCCAGAACTCATTCACACATCGTAAGTGAGATGAACGGTCACCGTTTACCCACTTTGTAACAAGAAACAATGGACGTCAACATGAACTTGTGACAGAAGCGTTGCTCGTTCGCCGTGTGGTGGCGCCCCATGTTTTTGTTTTACCTTAGCACTCAGTCTCCTTGTCTGACACATTTCATTTTATTGTCACCCTTGCACAAAAGCAGCAACAAAAGGAAAGAAAACCCAGCGAAAACAACAACAACATCAACAATAACAACAAAAATAATAATAACAACAACAATTTGGCTACCTTCGGTAGGGACATCAGAAAGGAATGGTTTGTTTTCTTCATCTTGACCAGTCCTGCCTAAGACGGCCACCTATCTTATACGGTCACTTTTCTCCTTGACAATGGGTGGCCGTCTTACACAGGTTCGACTGTACTTGTGCCTGACTGTATATTGAGTTTAAATTTTCAATCAAAAATGAAAATTATTGCTTTTGTTGAGTTTTGCTAATTTGCCTAAAAAAGTAAAATGTTCCATTTCTACTTTTCAGTGTCAAGCATAGTATTTGACCGACAAGATCAAGAGGAGCTAAAACAAACGTGTTCTGTGTTTCTCATTCAATGAGAGAACATGAAGCCTTTCAGACTGTGTCTGTCTGTTCCACCTGTGCCTTACTGTGCTGAAAGAACATACACTTTTGTCAGACTTTGCCTTGCGAGAGCAAAATCGGGAAATCATTGTTTTTTTCGTTATGCTTCTCATCAAGCTGAACACAAGCACCAAATGCCCATCTCTCAGTGTTACAAATTGCTCGGGGTTCATGCTGACTGCACAGAAGAAGAGCTGCGTATTGCATACTTAGACAAGGTAAAATAAACTTTTTAAAATTGCTATCTGAGATCACATTCATTTTATGCCAGTCCCACATACTGCCATCATTTCACTTTGATGAAAAAGGAACATATTAATTCATTGCTTTTGTGCTATTATTTTTTGCATTACTTGGCGGAAGTGACGGATTACATCAATAGACATATATATATGAATGAAACAGTACACTAAATTGGTCAACAGCCTAGCATATAGTAAAAGAATGTCCAGCTGTACTTGACATGTTTAACTTTCAATTTGGTCCTTTCAAAAGAATTATTCAGTAAAAAGGGTTATGGTTGAATTTGTGACAGTAACATTGGTTCATCAGATTTGTCGTAGCAACTGCCAGCTCTAAGTGCTTCATGATGTTGAACTTGTAGTCACCATTGAGTTAAAAAGTGTTGTTGGTAGTTACTCTTCTTGACAGTAATCTTTTCCACCATCTCTTTGGATACCTCTTTATTTTTCCTTTGTAAACATGAATAGCCTTGTTACAGATCAAGACAGTCAGCTTAAACGATGTTTTGTTCTCTAAGGAAGCTTATACAATATTATATATATATATGTATACATATATGTAGGTCCTATTTGCCTGCATGCAATGACAATATTCTGTGCCAAAGTATGCCACTGAGAATTTTGATACTGGTGTAGGCATCATAATCAACTCTTAACTTTGTTAGGGTTGAAAAGTTGGCAGCCTAAGGAGGTGTTACTGTAATCTCGAGTGTTTGTTTTGTATGTGTTTGTCCACAAAGAATGATAAAGCTGATAAAGCAAGAATCTGAAGTGTTTATATTAATATTTGCAGGTGTAGGACTTTTGAAAAGAGTCACACAGAGACAAGGCCTTACATAAGTGAATGAAATGAGTAAAAAAACCATTCAGAATTGAAATAGATGATGGCAACATTTTAAAAATCTTAAGCCCGGTGACTGAATGTTTTCATATTCGCACAATTGTATTTTCCTACGATATTTTTAAATTAATTGTCCTTTCCAAGTGATCAAAATTCCAATATATTTTGTCTCTGTAATTATTTTCTGATCAGGATGGTTGTGTTGTTTAGGGACAAAGGTAAAGATTGTTGTGTCACCTTTATGATTGCAGTCCTCTTTTTTTCTGTATTTTCAAGGTAAAGCACTACCATCCAGATCAATCAACTCCGTCAGCTGATTCTGCTAAGTTCATACAAGTGCAGCAAGCATATAAAGCTGCTTTGGTAAGATTAATCAGGATATGTATTGCCAAGTGGCTGTTCTATATGTTGAATTTATATATTGGTGATTATGATTTTGGGTATAATACAGTGAAACTCGGATTTTTAAAAAGCCGTTGGGCCTGACCTTCGATTTTGTTGAATCCGAGTATTCGTTAAAGCAAGATTGATGATTTTGTGTAGATAATTGCAGGCACCAAGCAAGTAATGTATAATGTATTCAACTTCCTCAATCAAAAGTGGTTTGGTTTCAAATGAGAGGCATTTTCGTTTCTTTAATACCAGACCGAAGAAATGCTGGAAAATTCTAGGATTCATTGAAATGCACGCCTGTGTCATATGTAATCTATGACTATGATGTATTGTTTCCCGAACAATTTTTGTTGCTGTGTTAAGCCTAGCATTCCACAGACCAATGTGCAATTCATTTCATAAATCTATATCATTATAATATTAATCAGTAGCCAAGGAAAAAAAATGTCTGTGATGCGTTTGTATCTCTACTAATACTAATGTTCCATGCCTGGACGGTTGTGCCACCTATCCCTAAACACAGGCAAACACTGTCATATGTGTACTGGCCACCAGTTGGACTCTGACACACTCATATGTTGGTATGAAAGAAGGCAGCTGATTGGTCACATAAAATGCAAACATTTGGCTAAGCGAATAATGGTTCACGGTGCAGGTGCCATGAGTGGTTTCCAGGAATAGATATGGTTTGTTGTGGGAGAAAAATGAGTGAAGCCACATCAACAGGGGACGTTCACCCTGCAAACGACTTGGTTGAATCCGAGCTTACTCATTTGCGTGTTTGTTGAATCCGAGTTATTTCTATTGATTTTAGTTAATTTTTAAAAACCCTGATAAATCCATCTCCTTTTGTTACATTCAAGTTCTACTGTAGTTTGAATATGTTTTCGCTAATTTATTTAAAGGAAATAATGTGCTGATCATGTAATGCACAAAGTCACACCTATTGGAGATGAGATCTGCAGTTACTTTGTTTCTTGTACAGTATAATCCACTTATATCGACATACGATTTATCAACATTTTGACATATCGACATATTTTCCCAATTACAAAATTTTTCCTTCAATATCTTCACTAAACAATTTCTGTTAGATCGATTTTTTTTCGGCCAACTCTGCTTTATCGACATGCTTCCTTAGTACCTGGCGATGCTCACGAACTTAAATGGGGGGAAAAGTCAAGTTTACGGTCAACGCATTATAAGTTCTTCATAAAGTCCACATACCCACCAAGTAGCCAATATCCACACAATAGACTTTAGTAGGTCATGGCCTACACTGTGTAGTCTCCAACACAGTACAGAGCCGTACGGACATGAGCGTCTCGTGTGCTGGGCATCACCTCCGTTTCCCCACTCCCGATCGCTCGCTCCCCTTCCCCATCCCATTCTCAGTCTGTCGCTCCCTAGCAAGCGGCCATAAACAGGTCTTACAAGGATGCTACAACAAAGTTTGCGCTGGTGTGTAGTGTGGGCCTCGCGTTACTCAGTCTTTGGTACCATAACTCCACCCCCACCCCTCTGCCTTTTGTTAGTTTCAAGAATCAAGGGAAGCAACCAAAAAGTATTTTTGTTTTTTCCCACTGACTTCCCCTTGTTATTCCCTCTTTGGCTTTATATTTTCATTTATCAACATTTGTATATATTGACAACAAATCCACTTCCCAAATCAAAGCATGCCGATATAAGCCGATTGCACTGTACTGGCCTGCGTACCCTTTCATATGAACAGAAAAATAAAGTTTTCTAGACAAAAATTCATGTTGCGATGTAAAAAAAAATGTCAATACTGCAGTAATGTAAACAGTTATTTGATTAAAACAGGATGGTTCTATTATATACCTGAAATAAAAAAAAAAAAAAAAAATGAAACTCACCTAAGACTGATGTATATCGTCCAAAACCTCTACAAACAGATTAGAATATCACGATGCTCAACTAGTTCATTTGGCATAAGAATAGCAACTTCTTTACAGGATGGTGCCTTGTAACGTCTCTCATGCTCAGCGAGTGGTCTAGCATTTTCATGAATTGATATGCTGAAATTTTGTAGTCCATTTTGAGTTGCGTTATATTAGTATGCTGCCTTTATTTCTTTGGTGCATTTGTTGTGTGTTTGTAGACTGTCTTGTAACATATTGATTACATTGCGTTTAAGACTGCAGTCATGTGTCATTGTCATTATTGATTTTATTTGGTCCTCTGAGTCTAAAAAATACACCTGCAAAAACTGTTCATTTTCATTTTCTGTTGGAAATAATGAGGCAACCAAGTGATAAACCTGCCCTTGCACACGGAATTTGGGTTCCAGCCTTGCAAATTGATCTTTTGACATCCAAAAGATGTCATTTGAAATGAACAATTATACTTTCTGATGTTGCTAAAAAAAAAAATGCTTAAGAGTCTGGAGAATTACCCATGAACAGATCTACAATTTCTGGTTGTAGAGGTGGGTATGGATCCAGTTTATGTTTCCCATACCCATAGCAAATACTTTTTGTTTCTCCTTGAAACTTTGTAGCATTACAATGATTGCACACATCTGTCATTTGTCCAATAGAACAAGTATTGTCAAGACTTAGATCTGCATCATTGTATGTTAACGCTTGTGGATTTCTAGTGATTGTATCAGTACCAGGTTGATCTTCTACTTCCTCTTCATTTACTTCATGTTCCTCTTCTCCCCCTGTATTTTCAGTGCCCACACCTGATCTAGATCTACTCTGCCTTTGTCTCTTAGCCACAGGTGTCATTCGTCCGATGGCTTGCCGTTTGGGTGGCATAGTGATAGCGATTTTATTCTCATCTAGATCTTGATCTAGGTAGATCTGACTAACACACACGCACACCTGATATACTGTCTTCGCCGCAGCACGCACAGCCTCTATATATGAAAGTCTATCACAGACTTAACCACAGCACAGGTGCCAATCACAATCAGACCTGCCGTTTGGTGGCATTGTATCTCTAGATCTATCACAAAGATACATCTTCCAAGTATAACTACCACAGAAAAGTAACTCTAAGCGATCCGCAACATCTCAACTGTAGGCGCCCAAAGAAGATTTGTTTATTTTTCCGGCGGAAAAGCAATTTTTATATCATGGAAAACGAAATAAGTCTTGAAAACTGCATTGAAATGACAAACGGTAAAATTTTAAATGGCCGATAGTGTTTTTTATTTTTCAAAATTTTGTAGGCAAACGCAAGCACTTACTGAATAGATAGAAACTTAGCTTGGTCTTTGAACTACCTTCAGTAATTTTTTCATTGCTCTATGTTTTTTCAGCAATAGAACACAACCATCCACATATGTACACAATTATATAATATATAAAGATTAATCATCTTTACTCTTGGTGTTGAAATAGAAGCCTTGTTCCAGAATTTTAACAGTTACTGGGGTTACTGGGGCACTCCATTGGTCTACGCTTGTTTGTTTGGGGGTTGTTGTTTTTGTGGGGGGGGTTACATTTTCAAGCCCCACTGGAGACAAATAGATGGGAGGGGGGTGGGGGGGGGGGGGGGGGGTTGTTAAGCAAAAGAGGTTTTTAAAAAATTGAAGGGAAGAGGACAGTAAGTGTGGATAAACCAAAGTAAATGTCACACATTTACATCCAGACATTGATTTCATTCCAGAGTAAGAGATTTGTCTCCTACTAGTGTAAAGTGAATCTCTGTGGTACTGCCCAGCCCTCAAGATGTAGATTAGGGATGAGAATGGAGGACATGCCGGCACTGCTGGTTTTGTTGTTTAAAACTTCATTGGTAGTATGTGATTCATGCTTTTTTTTCTCACATCTTCCTTTGGGCAGGATCACAGGAGAGGAAGAGAAATTTTAGAGGAACAAGAAGACAACAAAGTGGACATCCATGACATTCGGCACACTGTTCCCCAACACCGACGTTACTTAACGTTTGATGTAAGTGACAGGTCATTTTGGGGAGCAGAGATTTGAGTTGTGTGCGTCAGTTGTTTGCTCATTACTGTTTTATTTATCACAAAGCAGTAGCAATGAACCTACCAGTTTATAATCTTTCTTACTACTACTACTTCTTTTCTTCTCATGCAATTAAATATATTTATGCACACACACACACTCACACGAACTATTTTCATTCAGACGTAGGCACAGAACAACTATAAAAAAATAACGCTAAAAGCTTATGAAGGATAGGCCTGTAGGAACAGAAAATGCTTAAGATATCTTTTGAAGCTATCAAGTGTTCTTGTTTTTTTCTTAGTTCCTTGGGTAATCTGTTCCACATAAATGGACCAAGATATGAAAAAGATCTCTTTCCATATGATTTGCATGATTTAACAAAAGCGTAGATCAGCACAGTGTACTTTGTACTGCGCTTGGCTCGAGAAGTGAGAAAGCCCAGTGGCATTGACATCCTGAAATACAGCTCATGCCATCATGTGCTCAAGTGTAGGACCTATCTGAAAAGACTTCTGTAAGATAACAGGCCATGACCAGCCAAAGGTCACACGAAAAACATACATTTTCTGCATTCTCATGTTACTAGGCCTCCTGTACATAATGAGTAGTCATTATGATGCGTGTGATAAACATAGGCGAACAGTACACTGACGCTGCCTTTCTCTGGCCAGCAATTGACACACGTTCATTCTTAATTCTTGTATCTCTTTTTTCTGTTTCATTATCTTAAAGTTAGTTAAAGTACATAAGACTTGGTGTTTTGTAACATCTGAAGGCTGCTTGTGAAGATTTAGACGACATTACCCTCAAATTTTTTTGGGTCAGAAATACAGTAGTCTCCACCTAAACGCACGCCATACAAAGGCACGATCTGTTCAAACACATGATGTCATCATATGACAGGTTTATTAGGATATTATAATTTAAATGTACCGGTACAAATTCACGGTCGCTCCTTCTAAATGCATGCTTCGATCCTTGAAACATGCTGACAGATAAAGCTAGACAACAGGAAGTTTTCACTACAACCTGCACAGCTTGCGTAACAAGTCTAGACAACTGGATATTTGGTGAGACTGTCCCTCCCGCAGAACAGAGAGATTGATGGAGAGCGTTTTCAAACCCAATTGTCCACGGACACATGTCTAGGACTGATTGAGTGATTTGTTTGGGGGAGGGGGAGGGGGACTGAAATGTCTTTTGACTGGTCACTTGAAATGCGTCTTTGAGAGAAAGTTTCTGACTGGTGTTTGGGTGACTGCATATAATGTTTAATTAGGCCCATGATGTGCACCATGATGCTGTAGAACACCAGATAGTGCTCTATAAGATTAAAGATTAGTCCAGTGATCAGCTGTGCTCAAAGTACTAAAGTACTTGTTCAATGAATCACGGGAGAAAAATCTTTTGGAATTTCTGATTCTGATGTCCTCAGTTAACCCAGTTGCAGTAGATGACAGACAGTCAGGAGTGGTCCTTGAAAGCCTCATGGCTGAGCATTTTTCCCTCTATGACTATCGCCAACAGTTTCCTCTTATCGCTTGGCGATATTTTATAGTTCAGTTTAGTGAGTTCTTCTGTCTGCTTTTCCCCCCACCCATTCAACGCCTTTGTATTTATAATTCATCTCTGCAGTTGGGGAACCCTTCATAATACAGTTACGTTTGGCCACATTGTCGGCCAAAGTGACCTTCAATCCTCCAAGGGAGGTCACTAAATTATCAAGGAAATGAGATGATTGCACATCTTCCTCCCATCGCACAGGTTCAAGTAAATGCATGCTCGATGTAAACGCAGGCTAAGGGGCCCTCCTGAACACCATGCGCTTAGATGGAGACTACTGTAGCAGCATCTCAGGTTATCAATAATTTAAATTCCTTACGAAGGCAAAGAAAAAAATCAGGGATTCTGTTTTCTTTTAGTTCACCACTGGTTTTTTTAGATCACATTCACATGCACTTTACTACATTGTAAATTTTTAATTTTCATGGAGTATTGAGGAAGGTATTCTCTTCTGGTTACTTCAAAATGTATAAATTTGTTTATGTTTGGTCTTCAGTTTCTTTCAAGTGGGAAATAAACAACCACCATTGTCTGTTTTCAGGGTATTGGCTTTGGTTCTCCCACAGACAGACAACGTCAGCATAAACAATTTCGTATTTCCCAAGCAACGGAATCAGTGTATGAACACCGCAAGATGCAGTTTGGCTCGGAAGAATCTGCTGTTGCTCTGAAAGATAAGGCAGAAGCTAGGAAAATAAAAATTAGGTAGGTGTGGATCTGAGATGCTCAGCCTGGTACATCAAGTGAGAAAGAATTAGGAATCTATTACATTTTAATACTAAACTTTATGCCATTATTTCGTTGACCTTTTCTCATGAATTGATAAACCTTTAAGGGTTCTAATAGGCTGTCCATTATTCATTCCTTTTTCAATAATGCAGGTGGTACTTTTTTTTCCCCAAGAGCCAAAAATTGAACAAGCATGGTAACCAATGTCAAAGAAAAACATTTTGAAAGGTCTGCAATTTAATTGAATTAATACAGTATAAAACGGACAGCTCGAATTCGTCGGAACCGGCTTAGGTAGTTTGAGGGATCCGTAGTTCAAGGGATATCTTACAAAAATAAAGAAGAAATATAAAACTAGGACCGCAGGCACAGTTCGATGGATGTATGATTTCGAGTCTTCTGTGTTCGACCTATCTGTGTTGTACTGTAATTAGTTTGTTACTTGCAAAAAAACCTTAAGTGAAATACAAACTGTACATTTCATTAAACTGAGTTTCTAATTATTCTTTCTGAAAGAGAGAGACACTTAATGGTAAATCATTGACCTTCTTGATCCCAGAGGAATCTATATTTTTAAAATTTCGAGCACACTAAATAGAATTCTTTAAGAGTACTGCAAATTATGAATACGTCTTATAACAAAACTTCAGTGTTCTGTTGTCTTTGCTCTGTAGTAGCCTTTAGTTTTACGGATTAGAGATGCTTAAAGTCTGCCACGTGGATTTATTCTAAGTTTCTAAGCATATTAGTATTAGAAAGATCACTTTGTTTTTCTTTCAGTTTGAGAATAGATGTTTTAAACAAATCTTTTTTTATTCCTATTAAATGATAAAACGTTTTCCTTGATCTATTCACAGCAATCTAATCGACCGTGTGGTTGATGACTTGATCCGAGAGTCCATGCAAAAAGGCGAGTTTGACAACTTATCTGGTCAGGGAAAACCACTGGACCACTCGGACCACAACCCTTTGGTAGACCCGACCACACACAACTTGAACAAGATCATGGTCAATAATGGGTTCAAACCAGAATGGATCATGCTGTCTAAGGAAATCAGGTAAACTGGTTGTTTTTGATCTTTTGTCTTGGATCATTTGATAGTTCACCACATTCGACATTCAGTAGGCTGGGCCGAGATTTAGAAACTGCATCTTTCTGATTAAGTTTAGTTTTTGTCTCTGACTGTGCTTAACATCAGTATACCAATACATAAATAATAAACTGCAATAAGTACTCTGAAAAACAGACCTAAGAACCCCTGAGAATTTCTGTTAATACTGATAGGACCTACATAATTCTAGATCTGTGTGATTCATTGGATCTGTTGAGACTTTCTGTTGAGGATTTTGTTCAATTCACTTTGCAGCATTTGGCATTCTGTAGATCTAAAATCTAGAGTCTGCTCAGCAACAGTGTCGCTGAGATGCTAAGATAAGGCAAACTACAGCTAAATAACAAACACAGAGTTGCCTTCTATAAGCTTTGCTATTTGCAGGTTCAGAGGGGAAGGATGTTTGCACTGTGCACCGGAAATGGAATTTTAGTTGCAGTGGGGAGTTCTCCTCCGAAGGCCTTATCACATCGGAGTCACGGGGGTCAGCTTCCTGTCGCTGCTCTATCAGGGCTGACTTGATTTTTTGTACCTTTCAACGTAAAGTTTAAGGTGTATCCCTGTATTTACGGTAATTATCATTTACGACTTACAGTGCCAGCCTATTCTGAGACATGTATATGATGGAAAAAAATTAATTAAAAAAAAAAGTATTTGAGGTAGGACTCTGAAACTTTAGGATGTTGGTGGATAGTGAATGGACTACATCAGGTTCTAAAACATTCCATTCCCACTCAGTATTATCTGTCTAGTTTGCACCTGTAGGACCACGCCCTCTTTTACGAGGTGGTTCTCGTCCGTCACCCGCACCCCTATCACCAACATCGTCACACCTTCTAGATCCAGGTCTACCGTTGTCGTCATTCGACTCAGAAAAATTCTCTGGTTCTCTTTCAGAATCACTGCTGTCATTATCTGATTGTGCGAAGTCAGAATCAGAGTCATTTTGGGTCGTAGCAATGTCTGGTTCTTCATCCATTCCGAACAATTTTGCAATGTTGTGAAGAAAAACAAAAAATTCACTTTCAAAGACGAAATCTCACTCAAAACAGCTTCGACTGGGCTGAAAATAGCAAGAAAGCTTCTTTCATTTCCCCTCGAGTTCCGATTGCTACTAAATTTTAACTTAACCGGCGTAAAGGCATCAAAAATGGTCCATGAAATTATGCCCCTATGTCGTCAACTCAGGTCGACCATGGCAGCGTAAGTGTTAATGCACCCAAAGCAGGCATTTCTGCTCTCAAGACTAAAAAAATAACGATTATTGTTACTTGTCCGGTTATTTCGTCAGACACGCTGAAGTCGGCAATGCTAAATTGGAAAAAAAATTTGGCCAAGTGTGAATGAAAAAAAATCAATAAAAAATAAACAGCACGACAAAAACTGTCGAACTTTTGGAACTTGAACTACATAACATTGGTGTTGATACTCCGAAAAGATGGTATCTGCGCATATATAATAGTTGCGAGCGCCGTAAAACCTTATACTATATATATATATATATATAGAAAGCTGTAATTTTGCAACTTTATCCATCTGGCACACAATTTGCTGTGAAGTAAATCCTCCAAATACAACTTTATGTGTCTAATATAATCGTGAATATTCGCATATTTTCTTGAAAGTTCATAAAAATTACCCTGAAGCCTCTCTATGAAAAAGTACAAAACATCTACAATGCAATACACGAACAGTATCTGTTACACTCCAGAAATTCCTTACTTTTCTTAAAACGCTAAGTTTAGATTTTGGAAGTTGACTGAATAACAGGGATGACTTCTCATAATTGGGTTATAAGAATAATTTCTACTTTCCAGTGACACTCAGTCAGCACCAGACTTTTCCAGCTTTTCTTTTCTTTTTTCTGACCGTTTGCAATACTTAATGTTCTGATTTTTTTACATTCATAAGTGTCCACACACATTTCGGACACAAAAAACTAAGAACCAATGTGTTAGCTGCCATTATTTTTATTCCATATAAGAAGTTTATCTCTACCCATGTATTTACACAGTTGTATGCTTTTTTAAAAGCACATAATATATCTTTCTTAGTTGTATGCAGGCTGCCACAGACACAGCATGATTCATGAACAAATGCAGAGTAACTTTCTCTTGTTTAATGGTAAAACAGGAGCTAACGCTGAATGTCTTTTGTATGCAGATGTGCATCTTTCTTCTCTAATATTACTATTACTACTTGCGCAGATTTAAGATTTCTCATTATAAAAGACCATAATATTCGTAGTCAGTTTAACACAGTTTTTGGAGAGATCTGTCGTGCCGTTTTAAAGTAAACTATCATTTATTCACAAGTTTGTGATTAAAATAGGACATATTGGGTACTCTACAAACACTAGTCTAGAACAAAAACTAAGGCTCAGAAATTAACCGTTCTAATGCAGGATAAATCTCAAAGCATTGAGCTTTTAGTACATCAGTGTAATGGATTGCTCTGTGGGATGGAGAAGAAGCTATATCGTTTCAAATGTAGGCAAAAACGTGAAGTTCTTAACCGACACCGACAAAGTCGCTTCAGGACCCATTAACCCCGTGATTCCAAGCCGGGGAGCTCCTGTGGGCTGGTGAGTCACACTTACTCAAAGTAACAGAATCGGGCGAAAAGTGACGCTGTGTTAGGTATGTAGGTGAGGGTAGCCCAAATAAGGTTACTCAGGGATGGTGACCGTATTTGGGCTACAAATAGCCAGAATAAGGGGGGTACTTATTTGGACCACAATATTCAAAAGATATTTTTACTTTATCATTATGAGACTAGATGAGATTGTTTTCAGAATTAGACAGGTAAAAACTACAACTTCATGGTCTTTTATTTTCTCTTTTTCTCTAGGGATGACATCTCACTGGCAAGAAAGAGAATAGCACTTACCAGAGAAAAGTTGGGCCCTCCTCCGTATACCGACCAGAATGAAATGAGGTGGAATCATCACACTCATAAATTCAAGGAAAGCCTCCAAGAGATAAACAGTAAAATCAACAAGTACAATATGATAGTGCCTTTCATGGATAAACAGATGGTTCATTATGACTATGAGAAAATTTTACAGAAAGTTCTGTACAATCATGATCAGTTTCTGCCAAGCGAAGATGAGAGGAGTGCAATGGACATATCATTTGAAGGGTCTTTATCTCATGTGAGTGCTGAAGACAAGATAAAATGGGATCACGTTTGGTCTAATATTAAGGATGTATTCAAGTCAAGATAATGTTCAAAATTATCCCTGTATACAGTCAGGCACAGATAACATGTACACTCTAAGCTTGAAGTCATAGACAGCTCCTATAATAATACGGTGGAACTCGGATTCAGCAAGCTCGGATTCAACAGGAGGAGATAGACTCCCCGTTTTTTTCTTCTTTAAAATCAATAAAAATAACCCGAATTCAACAAACACTTCAATCAGCAAGTTCGGATTCAATGAGGTCGCTTCCAGGATGAACATCCCTTGCAGACGTGGCTTCGCTCATTTTTCTCCCACAGCGAACTTTATCTATTCTCGAAAACCAACCATTGCACCTGCATCATGAATCAGTACAGTCCAAGCCGGCTTTAAGCACGGTCATCGGGAGAAAGCTTAAGCGTGCTTAAAGCCGAAGCGTGCTTAAGTGCGAAGTAGACATAATCCAGAGATTTTCATGTAGAAAATTCCCCGTGCTATTACCCTTTGTTTGTAAGTAGGCCTATAGCGGTCCCGCAAAAGTGTGCACTGTTATTTAGACACCCGCCATGGTAGTTTTTGTTCGCTTGTTTGTTTTTGTTTTGTGGTCGAATGGGAAAATAAAACTTAATTTAGACGGCCAGTCACGATACAGCACACTAGGCCTACTGTAACACACTGCCTGTGCGTACCACTGCCCGCTGTGCCACTCATACATGTACCACCGCCTTCATGCCACCTCGCGCGTGATACACAATCAGGATTAATGGATAGCGAGGGTCAAAGGTGAAATCGCAGCCAGCCTCCTTTCTCGTCTCCCCGACTCTCTTTGTATTTTTTGGGGGGTGGTGTGTAGCTTTGCTCTAGGCCTGGGCTAGATCCTATGTCCGCGTGCACGGCTGTGTGCTTCCCTCTGCTTCCTCTCCGCCCGTGTGAGTGTGTGTGTGCATCACTTGCGTTCTTTGTGTTTCTCTTGACACACTCCACTGCTGCGGTGTAAACTGTGTTCGAACTTCGATGGGTCATCATGAAAATATTGACTGTCTTGTAAATGAAGCGTGCTTGAAGCCGAAGTTACCGTGCTTATAGGCGTGTAATTTATATAGCAAAAATTTGGTAAGAGCCGTTTAGCGTGCTTGAGTCCGAAACGTGCTTACGGCCGGCGTGCTTAAAGCCGGCACGGACTGTATTCACTTAGCTGATTGCATGCGACCAATCAGTGGCCTTCTTTCATACAAATGTACCAACACATGCATTGTTGGCACACACACATGTCTACTCTAGCATGTCTCTGGGTCGGATGGGCGACCTGCACACGTGTGACTGTGTGCGTGTGTCGGGGGGGTGCATTTGAACGAATTTGTCTTTTTTTTTCTTTGCACAGCTCATAAAATGCAGGCATTTCAGGCACCACTTGTTACTTCTCTTTATACATTATTTGCTCAGTGCCTGTAATTATCTACACAAAAACCTCATGTTTGCTATAACTTAACGAACGCTCGGATTCAACGAGATTTTAGGTCAGGCCCGGCGACCTCATTGAATCTGAGTTCCACTGTATTATGTAATTCCCCCACTGAACTGCTATATATTCTTTGTATTGGCCACACAGTTTTTTTCAAAGACCGGTACACATTTATCGAATGACTTGTCTCGAAAAGTCTTTTAAAGATAAAGATTTTCCTTCCAACTGTCTGAAATCAAATATCCCTGCGTACAAGATGGAAAACAATACACCTCTATTGTCACTGAGATTATTGGGTATAAGAGCCCTCCGGGCTTACCCCCACTCAGTGAGATACACACACGCTGCTTGTATTGAGATGCATTATCACACATTATCTCCTGTAGTTTGCATAAAACACTAGAACTACCTTGGATCTTGTCATGTGAGGGTGGATACTGGATGGTTGGGTGTGGTCGAAGACAAGAGTTTCATGCTGCATTGGACTGTATGGGGTATGAATTATGTTTGTTTATGTGCATGTGCATGTTGTTTGAAGCTGAAAGTATGGAAGGGGAAGTGATTGCACTGATTATACAAGAGGGGTGGGTGGTGTGCTTTGACCAGTGTTGGTTACATCGTCCAGATTGTGATCAGATGTAAGAGCAATTATATTTTAGTCAAAAGGCTTATAAGCAACACTCTCATTTCTCTTGCTTCCACACCGAACAAGATGCATGCACTATCCGTCCTTCTATCGTATTGTTGACAATGGATACTTTTCATGATGGCAGAGAAGAGAAAACTTACTTGTCTGACAGTAGCAACCAAGTGACAGAGGTTAGAGCTGGTTGACCAAATGTCTTGCGCTTAGATGGAAATTTGTAAGAGATTTGGAATCCCCAAAACAAAGCTTCCCATCATGTTTAAAAAAAAAAATATATAAAATTAAAAAGCTGACATCTGATCATTTTTGTCAACTGGAGAGAAAGCAAGGGGACTTTGTCAAATTTCAAAACATCAAGCTGGCATTGTTTCAATTTCAATGGTTTTTGCGAGCATGTGCCATGTCTCTTGCTATATCAGGTCCCATTCTGATGATAAAAGTAAAACCTTTGTTTTATTTTTATTGGTTTCCAGAATTATGGATATGTCTAACACTTGTCAATACCCCGATGTCTTTGGGGTATCCGTGCCTGACTGTGTATATAGTATGTTAACAGTGGAGTCCACTTAAAACTGAACACCGTTAGTCCAAAAACAGCAAGAAACTGAAAGAAAAAGAAGCTCCCCTTTTCAAAATATTTTGTACAACCTGTCTCTTCCTAAATTTAAAAAAATCTGGCGGTCCCGTTGGGATTTTGGTTTAAGCGGACCCAACTGTAGCTGTTGGTCTTTCAATTTGAAAATTTGCTTCGATTCTTATAAACAGTTTTACTTATTTAAAGTGAACATTTTAATCAACCAGCGATCCAGATACTGAGGTGTCTGGTCTTGTGGCTTCTGATTAACCAAAGAATACAGAATGGTATATTTTTACAATTTTAATAAGAGGAGAAAGCTACTTGTTAGTTTGCTTGTGATATTAGTCATAACCAGTAGTATGAACTTGTAAAAGTACACAGTGCAAATTGTGTATCCAAATTAAATTTTGTCGATTAGCAGGTTGTGATTTTGAGGAATATAAAAATGCAGGCCTGTGTGTGTTTTTTTGCAGTTGTTGTTGGATGGGGAGGATGTCTGTCTGAAATTAATTTCAAATGCCCTTGAGAGGAAGAGCGGGGGAAGTTTTTGCTTGGTTCTCGTACAGAAGAATATGAGTGTAGAGAGAGAAAGCAAATGCACTATGCAATGAGCTCATGGAAATCCCAAATAAATTATCCAGATTCTTGAGTATAGATAAATGTGCCTATCCAGTATGGCATGTTACACATTAATTTTCATTTCGTTTGATCTGTTGTTAATTCTCAGATATAGTATGGGATATACAAAATGTTCAGTTGTAATTTCCGTCTTATGGTCATTCCGCCACTCCTCTCTCAAATATGGAAAGCAGAGGTTTGCTATTTCTTATCCGACTTTAAGTCAAATTAAAATGTTGAAAGTACTGTTTTCAGTTGTCTTTTGAGTTGTGAATTGCTTGAATGTTGACTTTTAATGATTACAACTATTGCTGTTGAAAACTGTTACAACAATCCAGCCACTCTGGCAGTGCCCGTGTGCTATGTACATGAATTTTAGTCTCTACTTTCTGGTAAAAGAATTTTTTTTGTAATGCAGTCAGCTGTTGCTAGGATGAAGTCGGGCTTAAAAGTCCATAATAATACATACAAAAGTAGAATTACCCATTTGCAGTTGTTACCCATGTGATATGTATAGAAATGTACTGAGATTTGCACGTTATGTCTGTACAGATGAATTATTAAACAAGATGAAAAAAAAAATGTATTATATTGATTGATATTCACAATACTGCCAAACCTTGTTGTTCTGCCAACCTTGGGACGACATGAAGTTGGCGGGGCTAGTGGTTAGAATGGGGTTCTAATTGTCCCTTTAAATGGCCTTGGCTGCCCAGCACCAAGGGACATGATTCTGTTGTGTAAACTGTGTTTGAAAGTGTAATTTTGTTGGTTAAATTAAAACTGACAGTCATTCGCTTTTCTCTCTTTCTCTGTGAATTGTGCATAAATTGAAAATAACATGAATTGCCTGTTCTGAGGCTACTTGTCAAGCATATGCTGCCAGAAATCTACAAGGTGGCGAGGTGGAATAGGTAGGGGGGGGAGCAAATCAGCGATGAGCTGGCTCGCAGTCATGAGAAGGGAGAAATGGAGATAACCGCTGCACACATAGCTACCAAGTGGGTGCTGTGCTCCCTGTGTACCTATCTCTAGCAGCCAATTTGCTGGCAGTGTTGCAGGGCAAATTTTGTTTGTTTGTTTGTTTTTGTAAAGTGTTTTACAGCGTTCGCAACTGCATAAGGTCATATGAGCACGCGGGACACACCTAATATTTTTCAGTTGGTAGGAAATTTTGAATTATGCCCGGGTGGCGTCCGAAGCCTACTCTTATCGATTTTAGACCACCAAGGGATCTTTAACGTGCGCAACTTGCACACGGGCCCTCCGAGATTTTTCGCCCTTGTTCGAGAAGGCTAGGTGTAGATCTTTCCTACCAGAAGATCAGGGGTGTGGCTGAAAGACAGCAGTAAGAAGAAGTGAAGGAGTAGCAGTAGAAAGGCTGCAGAAAGAATCAGGAGCCCAGAGGAAGGGGCAAAGGAGGTGAGGGGGTGGGGGCAGAAAGAGGAGACGAAAGCAGACGACAGAACATTGCGAGAGAGCAGGAAATGAGGTGAAAGGAGACAAGTTTAGAGAAGAAAATTTTTCGGTCGCTACCCGGATTCGAACCCAGGACTTTTTGAATGAGAAGCCAACACCTTAACCTCTAGGCCACGAGAGCCCCCAGGGCAAATTTACATTAGTAAAGATTTTACAACTCGGCTATTTACCGCTGGGGGTTTAAAGGGGCAAATAGTATGTTTATACTGGTGTTCATTTTCGTGTGTTGACAAAACCTAGAGGTAAGTGGGACTGACTGTACTGGTTTGGTAAACAATAAAAAAGCAAAAGCATCTCAAAACAACAAAGAAATTATCTGACTTAATCATTTATTTCATGTAGTCAAAACATTCCACCCACAACAAGTATCCAGGCAGTGACGACTATAAAAAGGAATAAAATACTTTACATCACTTAAGTTTTAACTTTGCACACCACTGTATCCAATCTAAAGACGGAGAAAGCAACTTGTTCATGTCCTCCTCTTCCTGAATCTGATCACCATCTGTAGTGTCCAAGGCAGGAAGAGCACTTCCTTTTTCATCGGTTTCCATCTCCGATTCAGAGGAATCGTCTCTGTCATCTTCATCAATGTCATCATCACCAGTATCTATAGTACTTGAAGACATCGCTGAGCTAAAAATAAGGAACAAAAAGGCGGAAAATGTAGACAAGTCTAAGCATTTTTCAAGACGGTGAGCGTTATTTTTTTATTCACACTATTCACAGCATTGGCTCCACTCACTGTCTTAACCAAAGGAGGTGTATCCAGAAGGTCACCTGAGTACATGAAGGGAGAGAGAGAAAAAAGTAGGATATGAAGAGGCATTTAGACATCATGTTCAAGGCCTATCACAAAAATGAGGCTGGACAAAAAAATGTCAGCATGTACATGGTATTTTTTCCATGGAGACCATAATTTTGCAATTTGTGCAAACTGAAGCTGATTCATTAAAGTAGAGTCTGGGATTTTGAGTTGTGCTGAGGATATGTATTAGGAATTAGGCCAGCGCAGAGGAGAAAGAATGTTATGAAACTGTGACCCAGCAATGGTAGCTGTAGCATGTGAGGCTGTGTGTTACAAAGACAACAGGAAAAAGAGACTACATTTTATCTATTCTTCATCCCTTTCTAGTATTAGCTTTGTTTCATTTTTATTTCTGTGCCAAGCACCTGCTAGTTTTTTAGGTACTCTCTAATCTTGTTAGTCCTTTTTCTAGAATCCTGAAGATTATTTGTTCTCCTCATAAGAAAATTCTCATGAACAATCAGACTCAAATCCACAATCTCTACGTCACATTTAGACTAAATTGCTCTGACAAGTTTCTTTATCCTATTCTTAGGGAGCAGTTGGGTTCTGAGGAGTACAACAGACAGGCCAACTAGTACCAAGGGGGGATTTTTTTTTTTTACCCCAAGTAGGAAGAAATAGGTAGCTATAAAAAAATAAATAATCATCTACATTTTAACCAATAAAAGGAAGAAACATGAGTGAAATCCTTATTTTAAATTAACACATTACACCCCAACTCGCCCGAGAATTTCCATACGCGCTCCCCCCTAACTCGCCTGCTCCAACTACACATCTTTAGCAATGTAGTCTCGCTTTGACAAGACTCTGGGGCTGAGATTTCGGTTTACATAGTTATTGAAAAACATTTCTTCTTCCGTTTGATACTGAAACTTTTCGGACCAGTAGTTTTAGTGTTAGAGCCGATCAAAGTGCGATCGCATTTCCAACACTTCGAAGGTGTCTCAACTTGTTTAAAAGCAACACAGTTGAGTTTGAAAAAGAAAATGATGGAATTGAGCAAGAACAAGGCAATGACACATCAGATGGGTCAGACAGTGATGAAAATGTTGTAGCAAGAGTTTGGGGGGGTTCCGTTTCATTAGATGTTATTTTTTCAGGATTTTTGCAATTTGTTTAGTACAAAGTATTTTTTAAATGCTTGTAATCACGGGAGGTGGGTTCCTTCCCCTTGCTTAGGATTTAAGAAAAGACCTCCCGTCCAAACCCTGAAGGTGTAATGTGTTAATAATGCTCTTCCTCAAAATGGCATCCTTTATTTTTATGAGGATATCTTTCTTGATTTTTAGGTACACTAAAAAGATACTTTCTACTTGAATTTTTAACAATACTTCTTGATACACAGAAACAAAACTGTCAGCTCTGTAAAAAAACACCCAACAACATGAGGGCCATCAGTCTTACAATCTATAAACAAATTGTAAAAGTAATAGTAGCTCTAAACTGTTTAACAAGCAGACATATTAAATATTAAAAAGAGTACTGAAAAATTACAAACCTTTTCACCAACAGATTTTTCAAATATTGGTCACAATGCAAAGACACCGGCTCATTTGAATGCAGCAGCTGAAATTTTGAAAAGAGGAAAAAAAATCAACAGTCCGGAGTTAACAAACCTAGAAGTAGAAAAGAAAGCCCAAAGATTAATAAAAAAGAGGAATTATTATTTCCTGAGACTTCACGTAAAATCACTCATAACTCTTAATTAGTTATAAAATTACGCACGCGTTTTCTCTCCTGTATATTATGGGCACATTTCAGTGCGGCACACACTACAACAGTTGGTGAAAAATTCCTTAACTTGTAAGGTCCACTGCTGAAATTGGGACAGTACAGTAGGGGGCATTTTGTATTAACTCAGGCTGATATGAAAGAGGGCAGGAGTGGACAATTTTTCCCCGAATGCCAGACAGCAGGTACCCAGAGTCAAACCAAGCCCACAGATATATTCAAAACTAAAAATTTCAGATTTTGTTCCATCTTTCAGATAAAAAAAGTTACTAACATAACATCATCTATTGCGGTTATAGTAAGAAGACTGACGCACACTAGGAAAAATTAAACTCGTCATCCAGTTGTGAGTATGCAATTTTTGCCCATTTGTCTCTCTTCACTGCAAAGTGACATCATACTTAGCATCCATGCAACGGCGAGTGGAAATTTTCATAGTATGTCCATGAACACACTATTTCGGCTTCCCCGTGTGAGCGAGTCGTAGATCCTTGTACGTGTATCATTGAACATAAATGTGACTTGTATCGATACATTATACCCACTCAAATTTTCCCTCATAGATCAATAAAGTTTATCTCATTTTATCTCATCCATAAAAAGAATGCTTGTTAAATTTTACAGGTAATTAATTTGATAATAAAGAATTCTCTAAAAGCAGGACGTAGCAGTACTGTATCATTTATCCTTTATTATCAAATTGGAGCAGGAGCAAGAAATACTTTTTTTCATACAAAAGACTTAAAACATTAGGTTAATTATAAAATATTAAAAAAGTAAAAAAAAATCCTTAAAACCTGGACAGCTAAATTTTCATGAAAATAATATTGAACATACAGGCTACTCATTTGCAAGCTCTCCCCAATAATAATAATAATAAAATAATAAATGAATTTATAACGCGCCAGAATCCACAAAAAGTGCTCGGTGGCACTTACAAAACAAACACACACACCCACAAAAGCTCTAAAGCCCAGTACCACTACGACATGCATTTAAAAAAAAACAAAAAAACTGACAGATATTTCAGATATACAGTTCCAGCATTATAAATATACTTTCCTGAAAAAGACTGTCCTCAACTTTGATTTAAATTAAATTGATCAATTGAAAGACATTTTTATATCTAAATCCAAACTGTTCCAAAGTTTTAGGGCACAGATGGAAAAGGCCCTTTCACCTAACCTTGTTCTGGACCTAGGCATGCAGAGCTCACGGTCATTTGAAGATCTTAAATTACGAGATGGTGCGTACATTTCCATAAGTACTGACAGGTAATCTGGTGAGCACTGATGTAAAGATCTATAATAATACATTACGATTTTAGAAACCCAGGCTGATCACTCACCACTGATATGAAAGAATCATCCACTTGGTTGCGACTGCTGAGTGGAATCTTGTCCCGACTGTCGCCTGTTTCTCTCACCATCTTCTCCGCCAGGAAGGCACTCACAGCAGACTGAGGCAGATTCTGAGAGATTTTCACCTGCAACAGAGTATCACCGAAAAAACAATGTAGCCTACAAAATGACTTGACATACACAGTGCTATATATATGCCTCTTGACCCATAAATATCTCCTGCAGGGAGAGGAGAAACGTTTTTGTGACGGATGAAATACAGATTTTACCATTACACACAAACATACTGATAGAATTTCCAGACTTTCGAGAGACCCGAAGGAAATATTTTAAATGTACTAATTTCAAAGATTTGTTCTCTGTCCTTGAACCCACCAAATTTCTTGATTTTTATAAAGGCCAATAATTATGAATATTGTTATGTTAATCAAACGTAGCCGAAATAATTGTTTTTTAAATCAGAATTATAATAGAATTTCTAACTTGACATTGAATAAAATCAAGGCATGCCGTAAATTGTCATGAATGCAACCAACTAGTATTTAGCGAGCTCATATGTCCTTATGTAGTAGTCATCTTGCTAAACTAAACTAAGTTTAGTTTTAGTAGAGGTTTTACGGCGCATGCAGCTGCATAAAGTCATATGAGCGCCAGAAGATTAGAGTTGTTACAAGAGAGTAACAAACATAAAAAAGAAAAAGGGGAGATAAGGACGATAGATGTTTGATAGAAGCAAACCACACCAGAGCACCCGCCAACCACTAGGTCCACGCTGCACATGATGATAATTTCAGAATAGATGGGACATGCCTTATCATTCTACCAAGGGACAGCGGATAGAAAACATCTAAAATAAAAGAATCAGCTCATGTTGCAAGAAGAACCAGGGAGAGTAAGCGTCAGTAGAGAACCACTGAATGTTTTGGCCATGTCCATGCTTCTACAGTTACACTAGGTCACCATATAATATGCAAAAATGTGTCCCTCAACTCATCTAATCCAATCTAATCAATTCCAAGCATAACAATTCACACAGAGAAAGTTAAAGCACATGATCAGCTTTGCAACCCAAGAGACCATAGGACTCATACAATGATGGGTATTTATGCTTAGACTGCCACATTCAGCATCAGCATACAAGTTTGTAGTTCTCTATTCAACTCAACAAATTGAATGTATCATAAACTTCACTTCAACCTTATGCAAACCTTTAAATTTCATTTTTTGATAAATCAATAATCTCCCCCCCCCATTTTCGTAATCCTATACTTCCCAACGCTTAGACTTTGAATGAATTTTGGTGACCCCAACAATCGCCGGTACTCACACGATGCTGTATCTTTTTCAACAAGTGACAGCACAGTGACCAATTCGAGTATTGATTAAATTTCATTTGCACATCGATACAGCGTTTATACTGCACAACCAGCATGTAACAAATGTTGCGTATCATACTATCGCCAGCAAATTTCTGGGTGGTAGACTTAACGAAAGCAGATCTTCATTTTCTCGATCGAGCCTTGATGCCACATAAACTTCTGCCTGTCGCCATAGCCGCCTGTTCACATCAAACGTACTCTGAGATCAGGAAAAGCTAAACAAATATCACATTCGTGACTGGCGAAAATGAACTTACTGACCTTATCGGATTTGCTTTTCAAATATTCTAGAACTTTCCGGGTCAATTTACAGATTTCCTCAAATTCCCTTGGCATTCCTGGGTCTAAGTGATACGCAGGTTTAATTTACGACAGTTTACTTCCACCACATCACATTTACTACCATGGCACTGAATTTTCGACTTTTTAAAATGACTTTACAACCTTGCTTTGCTGGACACCCTGTATACATCTGCGCCTGACTGACGTAGACTGTGTAGGGGTAGCCTAAATTTTTAAAAACCGGACTCGGGGGTATTTATCGTATGTTCATAAAATTGAATTAAAATCGTGACAATTCCGACAAATTCGTAATGACGGGCAGCCCTGTTATAATGACACTGTCCAAGACGTTCACCCGTCTAAGAGGACCATTTTTCTCCTAGCCATCTTGGACAATTTTGACTCTATCTAAAATTCAAAGTACAAGAACACAGACGTAGCATCTCAAACAGCCAACAACATTACAAACACATGCCTGTGTTTCGCTGCTCTTCTGCTGCTTTGGGTAATCAAGAGTGAGTAGTTCCTCATCTGCATTGAAAATGTAGATCTGAGAAGTCCCAGGCCAACCGACGCCTGCAATCCCTCTGTGACGTCCATCAGGGATGAATAGAGCATCAAGAACACAACTTCTGCTCACATTCTCATGTTGGTAAATCATTGTAGAGTTGCGGGGGCTGAAAACGTTCACTGAAAATATTCCAAACAAACAAGGAAATTAAGCTTTTCCAAGCTCCATATCTTTAAAAATGCCAGTCTAAAATCATTTGGAATCAAGTATGCTACGGTACTACTACTATCGCCAGCTAAAGAGTAGAAGCCATTTCATCTCATTATCCAGAAGGGTGAATCAGATCATGTATCAGTTGCATCACTATTTCAGCCTTAGTATTTATCCAGCAAATGCTATTCTTAACTCTTGTGGAGTCAGGAACGAAACACAATACTAACACAAAAAACAAGACTTCCAGTGTGTCTAATTTCCTTCAAACATGGGAGCACTATTAATAAAACATAAACCTTTGAAAGAGTCACCAACATCAAAGATGATTGAGGGAAACAATCCATCTCATTTATTAACCTTCTTAGCACCATGAATAGGTCAGCAGGTCAGCGCAACAGAACCAAATGGCGATCAGCGGATGGCTTCCCAAAACCGAAGTACTACAGTGTTTTTCAGAGGTTCAGGGGGTGTAGCAAAGAAATTGCTTAAATAGATTATGATATCAGCGACATATTTCAATGAAATTCCACATATAAAGACCTAGGACGTCAGCATTTCAATTGAGAGTGGAATGTTCTTAATATTAAATCTACACTGAAGGCGGGTGTGTCAGGCCGGGAAAAGCCAGTATGGCTCTACAGCGGGTAAACCCATATATGGCAACACGACATGAAGACCGGTTCAGGCTAGTATTGGCTTAAAAAGGGTTAATCAAAAGTTGGAGAAACAGGAACATCAGAGCGGTCCCCGATGAACACCTCAGTCAAAAATTATAAGACACTCAGCCAAAAACTATTAGACAGAAAGAAACAGTTGAATATGTTTTCATGCTCAACATTCAAGGCCATTCAAGAGACAGGCCCTCTGATTTAATATCAAACTCTAATTGGACTGAGCAAAGGCAATGCCATGAAAAATCCAGAAAGAACCCAAATCTTAGAATGCACAAATAAGAAGGCAAAGCACTACAGTCTAGCATGACACATAATATACTAAACCAACAGTGCCCTAATGCAAAAGAGAATGCACACTTCCATTTCCTCAAGGAAAAAGAAAAAAACAAAAAACAAATGATCAACCAGTTATGAGAAGCACCATCAATACTCACATGATGCACCGGCTGAAACAAATGCCATCAGATCAGATGCTGGGTCGCGGAAAAGCGAAGTGATGTTAGCAGATGGCAGTTTCCATTGCACTGAAATGAATCAGTTTGTAAAAAATTTTTCAAACAACCATCAAGTATCTTTTAACAAACATGTGACAACATTTTTTGTTTCAAATATGTTAAAGGCCAACACTCTTATTTTATGAGAAGAAGAATTTCACTCACTCTTCAGGAATCCCCTCAACACATCTGAAGTGTCAAATACTCCAAGCCAATAGAAAATGTTCTTAAACAATCTTTTTCTTATAAAGTAAGTTCAATCAAAATAAAAAACCATGTTTTAGGATTCAGACATTATGAAAATGAAAACAAACATCTTACCAGTAAGAGTCAGCAGATCCCAGACAAGTAAAGTTTTTGTCGTAGCAACAACCAGGAGATGGGAACATTGCTTGTTACCAAACAGAATGTGACTAAAAAAGAAAAGACATGAAGAAAACAAATAATGATGACTTTGCCATTACATGACAGAAGATTTTAAAACAGTAGGTTTAAATCTTTGAATAGAACGGCAAGGTGCCATAAGTTATATCTGCAGTCAGTCAAGAATCCTAAGTGTCTTATAATGGAAATTAAATTGAATAAAAATGCTTGCTATACTCAGCAACAGATATTGAAAAGAGCAAAAGCCTACACCATTCATTCTTGGGCTATTATACCAACACACTAGGTGAAGTGACGATTAAAAAAATCTGAGCCACTAGACATTGCACATTACTAATGTCAAAAACAAGTTCAACAAAGGACAATGTTGTGCACATGAGGTAATCTTTTTTCCCCCCCCCCCCACAATTAATTCTAGGATTCTCTTCCAACCATACTGGTATCCTATCAATTGTTTGATAATGATTATTTTCAATAAAATTCAACCACACAAACTTGTGCTACCTGATTGGTTCTCTCTCTGGAAGAGAGTTTGAGACGGTTGCCTGCACGATGTTGTTGTCGGGATCCCACAGGGTGACCAGGTGTTCAAACCCCACAGCAAGTGCAGTGGCATCCTGAGAGAAATCTGCACAAGACACTTCCATGCCACGGTAAAAACCGACAGACTCACAGTCCCACCTCACATTGCTTCCTGGGAAAGGATACATCAGAATTTTATGAACATAAACTCAATAGTCAGCACATATTCATAGCCACACTCAAACATTTCAAAACATCCTAGTACACAACCAAGTTATACCTAAATGAGGTTGGGAACAATATGGAGCAACAACCTGAAAAATGCTTAACTTATGTCATGGAATGAAATTATTTAGAAGGTTATTTGAGGGCAATATTGTATTTTTAAAGAGGCTTTCAACAAAGTACAAAACTAGTAAAGCTCACCTTTTAACCAAGTACACTTATTATCAGAAAGTATTAACATCTACTGCTGTAGAGAAAACAAGCTTCTAAACTTGACGAAACATATTGTGTCCACTTCTTTCCATTTAATACATGGAAACTAACATTCAATAATTTCTTTTGATACAAAGACGTATTTCATTTGTAAGGAAAGTCAAAGGGTACCTAACAACTTTAAAAAGCACCTGATCCCTAGAAGGCTCTAAGCACTGTACGCTGCAGAATTATCATCAACTTAACTGACAAAGCTAAAGACAGAAAGTGAACATTATAAGACCATTATTTTAACCACACATCCAAACTACTGCGGTTCACACATTATCATTATAATTTTTTTTTTTTTTATCAAAGAAATGAAAACAATAGAATTTGAAAACGACAAGAAACCAATATTCTATGATTTGCTGCAGGCTGTTTTTCCGCTAACAGCCATGCGCTTTCCACCTGACTTCCCAGGCCATCACAAAATAAGATCATTCTAAAAGCACTTTGCGCGCCTCACACACATAATAATGTCTTGAATCACACCAACAAAGCAAGACAAAATCTTTGCCCAAATATGTATAATTGGAGCTTCAATTCTTATTTCAAGATTTATACTGTAAAATATTCCAAACCCGATACTATACTTTCACAGTGGATAGTTTATTGGCCGCATCACCTTCTTTACAAATCTGTATCAGGGCCCACACAGATCCACTAAAGGAACGCCAAAATATAGCAAGAAGTGGACACAATTGTGGAGCTCACTCACTGTAAATATCTGTGTCATCCACCAATGTCCATAGTTTGAAGCAGCAGTCCGAGCCAATTGTGACTAGAGACAGGTTGAGCTCAGACTGAGGGCGGAAAATCATCCTCTTCACTTTGCCATCATGAGGACCCTCCACTGTAGTGTTCAGAGAGTACCTGAAATTCAAAGAAAATGCAAACTGAAAAGTACAAAAGTCACTAAAAAATAATAATATTCAAGCATGAACTAATTTTTGCAATTTTGGGATCATTTTTGAGCTCTTAACCTTGCCCAATTTTGAAACTTAACGTAACTTTTATTTGTTCAAGTTTTTTAAAAGTAGTACAGTAGTCTCCGCCTAAGATCCCACCGCTTACGGTCCCGGTTCGCTTAAGATCCCGCTGTTTTAAGAAAACAAAATTTTTACTATACAAAAGTCACCCCTAAGATCCCGCTCTGATTCACTCTGAAGGTCTACATTCGGCTAAGATCCCGCATTTCAGATCATAATTTGCGGAACAAAAACCCGGGCGGGACAGCCGATCAACCAAGAGTGAAAAGTTGAGATCAATAAACTGTCCGTTGCGTCAAAGATCAGCCACTATCGTGAATGTGATCACATACACGTTGTAAAACTCGATGAAGCGATACAATGTTTGCCCCAGACCGGATCACACCGGGGTGTGAACTGACCGACACTGTTTTCCCCACGCATCGCACTCACACCTGAGCTCTCCCCCTAAACTTACATCACTCGCTGGGTGGGCATGGCCTACACGTTCGCTCCAGGCGGGATCACATTGAACTGTAAACTCTTCCCTGACCATTGCAGAAGTTGTCTCTACTCCCGAATTTGCGAGACAGACTGAATTTTAATTGGTGTGTTCATAACGTAATGGTGTGTAACGACAAAGGCGGTTGGGGGGGGGGGGGGGGATCTTGAGACTCATGATAGGATAAAAAGTGAAAATGGCACGCCTCATCCCACTATGCACTGTGATAGTTCACCAAGGTTAACCACTCTTTGCTCGTCATACGTCATAAACCCACCAAGCGGTCAAGTCAGTTCATGTTAGAATGGAGGGAGACTATTGTACCTATTGTGAGCCTTAGCATGGGTCACCATAGATTCTTCCCTGCGTTCATCGGTTAAGATCCCGGTTCGCCTAAGATCCCGCATTTCCTTGCTCCCGAGCACCGGGATCTTAGGCGGAGACTACTGTACAAATTTTCCAATAGAATTTTTTTCTCTTAAAGAGTTGAGGCTCTGTTTTTTTAAAGGGCAAAGTGGCACTAAGCGACTACAAGGGCTTTGTACACAGATGGTGTTAAAGTTGGACGACTACACATGACAGAGTGACAGACCGTCAAGGTCTGATTGTTTTTCTTCCTTATACACTGAGCAGGTAAGGATGGGTTGGTGAGGCCAAGTGGCCACTAAATTTATAAAAAATCAGAATCAAGGTGTAACAATCGTATTTTCATAAAATTGAAAAAACCCCAAAAAACCATGGGCAACAATTCTGCCAAATTTGTACTGATGGACAGCCCTTTGATTCCCCTGCTTTCTTCCATTCAGTTCCCTTTTCATCCATTTTTCATGGTGTTTTCTCAACAGGGAAATCTAAAAATGTAATTCACAGCTTTTCTTCAACATATGGCTGGTCACTTTTGAGTGGAAACCCTGTTTTAAGCCGGGGCATCAATGACAGAGAAAGGATGAGAAGGCTACACGTCCAAACTGCCAAACTCACTCCTCATATCCTAATCCGTTCTCTGAACATGCCGTAACAATTTTTGATTTAACAGTCTTCCCCTGCCTTGAAGAGAACATTCACATTTGTTAACTATGTAGTGGGGCATTGAGAAAATAATACTTCTCTCTCAGATCAAACTAAGGTTTTATGTGTGCTTTTATTTTGAACAGGTTCTTTGGAAGAATATTACAGAAACCAGGAAAGATTAACTGCGAAAGTCAGCATAATCTGAGAGGTTTATAAACTTCCAAACACTTACGTCTGTGCCTCTGTGCTCCAAGACCAGAACTTGAGTCTCAGCTCCGGGGTGAAAAGTCCATCGTCCCATGACTCAAAAGTGGCCAGCCATTCACCGGACCCACTGACAGCCGCTGCTATCACTTCTGTGACCACCTTGGGTCTCTCAATATTCTCAGGAGATATGTAATTCTGACCCACAATGTCCAGCTGAAAAAAAACCAAAATGGAAATTCTTACAGAAATGAAAGTTTCTACATTGCTTTGGTTTATATTGCATAAGGAACCCAACAGATTTCTGGTTTTACTTGTTTTAGTTTTAATGGCACTTGCAACACAATAAGGCCATATTAGTGCCGAAGATTAGAGGTGTTACAAGAGAGTAACAAACATAAAAAAGAAGGAAGAGAGATAAAGATGATACTTGTTTGAAAGGAAAGAAGGAACAAACCACACCAGTGCACCCGCCAACCACCCATCTGGTTATACTCAAATGAAAAAAGACTTGCAAAAAGATTTTTATTCAATCCGCAAAAGATGATTACTTTGAAGGCTGGAGACTTATTTGAAGCAATATAATATAAAAAAATCACTTCTGAGGAACATGAAATGAACATATAACTGCAAAAATCTGACACCGTACAAGAAACAGAATTTCATAACACACTGGCACACCAAACCTCAACTCAATTTCTCAACATAAAAGATCCCACAAGTGTTTACATAAGAAAAAAAAAAAAAGAAAAAAAATTCATATATAGAAGAGTCCAGCACTGAGAGGGAACAAACATTCAACAAACTTACATTGAAAAGCTGCCTGTTGAGAGCCAGAGAGTAAAACTGCAGGTGACCTGGAAGACCATTAGTGACCAATGCTTGGGACCTATGGTCAAACTTCAGTCCACAAGGAATTGGGTTTTTGTCCGAGGAGAGACCCATGTTCCCCCGTGTCAGGCCGCGGTACACTTGGAGAACCTTCATGCTGATGTTCGACAGTTGTACCGCTGAGAAATACCAAAATATCAATACGTATAAGAGCAAACCAAAAGAGTGAGCTCAATTCATCCAACAGGATGAGAACAAGTTTTCAAAGGACCACCAGTCAGAAACTTTAAAAAAAAGAGAAAAAAAAGGAGAACGCAAAAATAAGACAATTATCGTATTGAGCATTGTAACCTGGCATTCACAACCAATCTGATCCATTTCTCTTAGTCTTACTCAGCCATTATACTTCTTAGTCCCCTTCCACCATCCTCCAATTTCCACAAGATCATTGTTTCTCCAATCGGACCATACATCACAATAAATCAAATATTTCCCATGCACCAGTCCATGATGACACTAGTTTGACTGAGCAGCAAGCTGGCCTCTTTCCCTTGTTCAATTGTCAAATACTATGAATTTACCTCTTTATCAATTCTGCAAGTCCAATCCCAAACTGAATGCATTTTAAAAAAGCACTGAAAACTTACCATTATCAGAGTGTTCTGTGGCATAGAATGTTCCGTCTGGAGAACAAAGTATTTTGGTGAGGGGTGCTCCCATCCGAGGCTTGAAGTCCTTCAGATTTGTGTTTGACATTTGCCACTTGACCAACACACACTCGTGGCCTCCGCTTAGAAGATTTGAACCTACAATGCCAGAGAAAAAGTAGTAAGGAGTTTAACTAACACAGTGAGCCCAACTTATAAGTCTCAGTTATAATAGAATTTCGGCCATAGCAGGCTCATAAATCCCAAGTCCAATTTGTCATAATGTATGGTTAAAAAAAAGTACTTTTATAGCAGGTATTTGGAGAGGCATGCTCGGCTTGAACAGCGGTCCATTGACAAAAATCCTTAACCAAATTAACAAAAATAATTTATTTTTAAGTGAAGTGAAACAACATCCAGCAGGCCAATAGCACCTGTGTGACCCACTGTATGGCATGAGCTGATTGTGTATCTACAAGTTTAATGATTTGTCATACTGTGTACCCAGGGGAGGAGGGGGAAAACTGGCTGTACGTTGGTGTCCATACAAATAATAGTGTCACTGATTTGACATGATCTTGATATGGCGCCACATCGTCCTATTGACTCCCAGTGGGGTGGCAAGACTTGTGACAGGAATAAATCAAAGACTGAATGAAAAGCAGGCACTGGGCTCTAGATCTACTCCAGATCTATGTGTGTTCCTTTTCCAAACTGTGGTAACTATTCAATTAAGAATAGTTGTAAAGTGCAGATAATATATTACTGTACCTGTGCAGTTCAAATGATTCCTATTTAACATCCATGAGATTAAGACTCTAAGGTATATTAGAAAAAGAAAGATAAAGAGAACAAAATATAAGTGGAAAAGAAAGGAGCAATAACAGATAAATTCCTATTGAACATCAATGAGATTAAAACTCTAACGTATATTAGAAAAAGAAAGATAAAGAGAACAAAATATAAGTGGAAAAGAAAGGAGCAATAACAGATAAATTGAAGTGAGTAATTTATGTAATGAAAAAGATCCCATTAGTTAATCATTAGTTACAGTATTAGTTAACCTGATCCCTGTCTAATACTAGGATTAAGCTATAAAAGGGAAATCACTGCAGTCTCTGCAGTCCTGTTATAGCCTGGACCCATTGTGCCATTATTCATTAGGCCACAAATAAATTACTCAATCATAAACACAAATCTCTGCTCATCAGTTCTCAGAAATCTCAAGGCACTGAGGGGAGATACGCAAAATCAACTCCCCCACCTGGGCAGATCCAGTTGCTTTCCACAAGCAATCTAGTCTTGGTCTGCCCACAGGGAAAATTGACATTTCAGCTGCCCTTACAAAACCACTTTCATATGAAGAACTTTAGTTTATTTTTATCTTTTTTAAAGACCCAATGACCCAATATGAGGGGGGGGGGGGGGGGGGGGAATCCTCCAAAATGATCATGAAACAAGAAATGTGAAATCTCCAAGGTTCGTCTAAATTGTATTTTTATAACCTATTCTCTACCAAGTTGGAGGAATCGTATTAATGTATTGATTACCCCCCAACCATTCTCTTATTCCACTCAAACAAGACCAATTGAAGATCAAGAATAAACCAAAGTTCAAGCACCTCTGCTATTTCTGCAGCTTTTCTACTGCTACTCCTTGGCTCCTTCTCACTTCAGTCTTTCAGCCACACCCTTGATCTTCTAGTAGGAAAGATCTACACCTAGCCGTCCCAGATAAGGGCGAAAAATCTAGATGGTCCCCTGTGCAAGATGCGTACGTTAAAGATGCCTTGGTAGTCTAAAATCGATAAGAGTAGCCTTCGGTCACCACAAATGCAAAATTCAAAATTTCCTACCAACTGAAAATGTTTAATGTGTCCTGCCCCCCCAAAAACCCAACCATATGACCCGAACACAATCTTAAATCTCATCACTTGTAACCATTGGCTGTTATGGGCTTTGCAGGGTATGAATAGCATTTTGGCACATAGTTTAGTTTTTCATATGTTGCTTTTTTAAATTAAGAGTTCTACAGCACTTACAACGCAATAAAGTCATTTAAGTGCCAAAGATTAACGGTATTACAAGAGAGCAATAAAAACACACAAAAAAAAGAGAAATAAGGACAACAGACGTTTGATAGAAAAAGAAGGAGCAAACCACACTAGAACACCTGCCAAATACCCACTAAGACTTTACTTGCAAAAAATATAGTTCATATGTGTGCTGAAAACTAGAAAGTATTATACAAAGAAAATAGCGCATAGAAATAAGAATGATGTTTGATGGGGAAAAAAGGAGCACATTTTGTACTCTGCTGTCATATAGTACCCCCCAAAAAAGTGATATCAAAAGGATAAGACAAAGCAGAACTTATCGGTGACTTTTCTTTCTCCAGTGCTTCCACCAGCTGAAGCTGAAAGGTAAGGAAAACCCTGATGGGGGTCTGGGGCCCAGCAGGGTCCGGGGACAGCGTCCCGTTGGGGGTTCTAGGGGCGAAGCCCCCGAAGAAATTGAAATTTAGTGCTTTTAAAGGGTTGAAAATGGCATTTGGGAGCCTGTTTGAAGAGATTGCCTGCAAACCATAACATTTATTTTTTTCACCAACATTTTGTCTTGTTTGATTTCCTCACCAACATATCTTTTCATTGCTGGCAATGTTTAAAAGCAGGTTCCCCTTTCATTGCTACTATAAATCAATTAATTTGTCGTCCCACAATTGACAGCACGCAAACCTGGAAATAAAGAATAGATGTACCTTCAAAATACAGTTGCGCGGCGTACACCAAATTTTTTCTCTCTCAGTTTTCACGTCTGAATGTCGCCTGTCACAACCCCGGAACATCGCTTCGAATTATTCTTTATTTTACCTACGGTTGGATCGGGCCGATCGCCCGACTCGATCGCCTGAAACTGAAAACAAACATGTTTGTTTTTCAGGCGACCAATTCAGTCGATCAGCGCGATCGGCCGATCCCATCCGTAGTGGGCACCCCCGTATCAGCATAAATTTCTTTCATCGCGGCCCTTATTGCGTTCACGTGCCGTAGAATCTTCGCATCGATAATTTTTATAGATCTAGACAAATTTGCAAAAAAAAGTTTCTTTCTGACAGTAATTTTCAGTCTAAGATCACAAGTCAATTTACTTGATCAACTCGCAGATTTTCCAGCAGTGGCAACAATCCGAAGATAGACAGAAGGAATGAGTGAATGATAGAAAGGAGGAAATTGGCACAAAAGGTTCGCCAGATTTTGATCCATCTGCAGGTAAAAAATGTACTGACGACCAACCCGCAATGAATGCATGGGACATAGCGAAAAAAATGGCCGATTTCAGGAAATGCGCAACCCGGCAAGTTTCTACAACTTTAACTTGTTGCCGAGAGAATTACTGTAAATGTCAGTAACTTATTTTATAGAAGATGATACTAAGGCGAGTACGGAATTTCGACAGTCATGCGCTGTCGCAGTTTTTATTACGGAGAGAGTTGATAATGATGGAGGAACGAGTACGGAACTGGCAGAAAGTACGGATTTCCGTAAAAATACGGAAGAGTGCAAGCACTGTTTCTCCTCTGACCAACTTGAGCAGCTGATGTTTTAACCTTCAACATCCTAAGTTATGGATTATGTTGGAAATAAAGAGAAACCCAAGTTACGCATTGATGCTTAGTCAATACCAAGTTAAAAAATTTTTTGAATACTAAAACAGGAGGGAAAGTGTGAACAAGAGAAGGTGGACAAGAACAGCATAATGACCATCAAGAGGAACTATGCTCACCAGGGGGAACCTAAAGATATTTTGTTTAGTCAAAAAAAAAAAAAAAAGAGAGAGAGAGAGAGAGAGAGAGAGAGAGAGAGAGAGAGAGAGAGAGAGAGAGAGAGAGAGAGAGAGAGAGAGAGAGAGAGAGAGAGAGAGAGAGAGAGAGAGAGAGAGATGATAAATATATTACCTCCAGGTTTTTTGCGCTCTTTTGTGGAAAACCATCTTAATCAAAATGGTACTCCACCTCCCTTCAGAACCAAGCCTTTCAATTACTTTTGCAGCACAACCCTTAGGACGACCCCCCCCCCCCCTACTGCCTCCACCCACAGGACTGTGCACCTGAGCTCCTATGGGTCAACCGCTAGAATAACCCCACAATGCACTCAAGTATACATTTGGTACACTGGAAGGCTAAGTATTCACACTCAGGCATGTGCTATGGTGCTAAGGGTTACAAAGAATTAATCTGAAGTATAAAAAATCCCACATTGTCTTAGAAGCAAAAACAAACTTACATTCTCTTAGACTCCTTCTTCATTGAATAGATAGTCAACATATGTCCAGATGCTGATGCCACAAACTCTCTCTGGAATGAAGATTGAGAATAAGGAAAAATATGTCAAAGATAATGTAAGATGAACAATCATAACATGTGAGGCATCATGGTAAAATCAGCACTTGTCAAAATAATGAAATTGAAGACACAGGCATTTTGCCTCCAGTTTGACCATTTTTTAAAAATAGATATATATGAGAACTTTTTTGGGGGCGGTTCTCATATCAACCTTTTGCCTGTCTGTGTTTCATCATAAACATATTGTTTAACCCTTTGAACCTGTTAGGTCGGTCATATTTTGCTGTATACCGTAAGGCCGGTTCACCAAGGCACGGACTACCCTGAGTTGTGTAGTCTGTCAAAAGTACTCTCTTTGTTTCTTGTTCGTTGTCTTACAATATTTCCACCTTGGAAAAAAGTGAACAAGGGAGTGAACACACGTGTGTTTATTTCTCCATGTTTTTCCCCTCAGTCTTTTTATGTATGTGCCCCGTGAACTTTGATGAAATTTGCAAAAAATGTCCAGGTATAGAGATTTGAGAAATTTCAAGATTTAGGGTTCAAAGGGTTAAAATTTAGGCTCTAAATTACAGAGCATACCTACAAATGATCAAACTAGACCTTGCTGAAACCCAAACATTTCAGTAACCAGAAAAAAGTGAAAACTATCATCTGGATAATAAAATTGTTACAGTATGCATATTCATGAATTAAATTTTTTTTAAAAATGGTTCCTGCCTGCAAAAGAATCAAGACAGTGCAAATTTCAACCCCCCCCCCCCCTCCACTTCCGATTTTTTTCTTCTAACCCAACACACTGACTTCTATCTCAATAATTTCTTTTGCTAATTATTTACTTACTGAGCATCCAAATGATATCAGGCCATAGTCCCCTGCACAATTTTCTATCAGCATTTTAGGTTTGGAGAACTCATTTGGGTTTGTTTTGCTCCTCTTCCACTGCATCAGGCAGTAAGCTGAAAAACACGAGAATAAACCAAACAGATATAAAGGCATTAAATCAGTAGCAAAATATTAAGGGAAAAAAACCCTAGCATCTTAAAAAGAATATCACACTTATACTTATACTGGAGATCTTTAAAATCCTAATCAAATACTGACAACATTTAAATTCTAAAAAAAAAAAAAAAAGAAAAAAGTTTCATAATGAAAGGTGGCATGGAGTGTTTTCACAGTAAAGATAATAACACACGTGTCTCGACCCGATGAAATCAGGTGCTTGTCAATTTTTGGGCATGACGAGCTATTGGTATTATGTCCTAAGGCTTGTTCATTTGTTTAGCTTTCCATAAAAAAAAAAAACATGTGTCTATCTCGAACAGAAGTCGAAATATTTGCGATTGAAAGAGGTGTGGGATTGCCTGGTTTCAGAAGGAAAATTACAAAGTTAGGTCACTTCCAAAGTGTTGTTAGAAACTGGAAAATTACACTTTTTGTGCCTCTAATCAACATTTTTCAATAAAATCCGCACAGAAATATGTTTTTATTTACACAAAAGATATTGAGCCAAAAAAACAAAATTCAAAGAAAATTGCCAAAAGAGCATAAATAAAGCCGGCTCCTTCGATTTAATTATTTAGACAATGCCCCTGATTCCACCCCGCTGCGACACATATATTATGCTTTTTAATAAAGAAGTCAAATTGAACACTGATCTTTCACATAAACCAGTAAACAGTTGTTTAAATTTAAACAAGAAAGTAAGATAGTACCTACAAAAGTAACAACACCCCCCCCCCCCTCCCCAAGCTATTGAGAAGAAGAAGAGAGAAGAGCATCATAAACTGCAAATTACTTACTCTTTTTGTGAGCTGAGGTTTCAGCAATAATCATCATGGACTTTGTGTCAGCATTCACGGAGACAATGCCATACAATGGCATGTGAAGATCATGCTCCTATTGGAAAAAGCACACAAAAATTTTTTAAAATTTTTTTTATTCAACTTTTTTAAAAACAGTTTCTATGTATTACATCAAAATTAAATTGTAACAAAAATTAAACACCAGACAAAATAAAACAAATGTAGAATAGAAACATTCCATTTATATCATTTAGGGAAAACTTCAAAGTTTCAACTGAAGAAGCTGGGCAAGTGACTGAAAAGAGAGACTTAGGCAAAATTAAGACACTGTCCCTTAGAGATTCAAAAATAAAATTGACAATTTCCAATCTATCTTCATACAACTATTACGTCTTCAGTACTGTTCGCTCTAAATAACAATTAATATTCGCTTTTTTTCTATACAAATAAAACAGTGCTTTGCTTTAGTTCTCTAGTCTTTTACTCGCTTTTTCCTTTTAAAAAAAGGCACTGGCAGCAGCATTAAATAGATTTTGACTAGCTCTGTTTATAATTATTAGGGTAGTGAGAGATGCATCCCATTTCAGGCAGAAACAGAAAAGTAAAAATTACTTTTTCTATTGAGTAAGGCTACAGGGAACTCAAAATACTAGCATTAAAAAAGATTTTCTAAAAAGGTAACAACAGTCAAAGTAACAAATGACAACTACTGAATAGTTTCTCACCATGGCCACAGGTGCAGAGGTGACAAAGTGTATTTTTTTTAACCTTGTCTTTGATAATAATAGGGATGAAAATCTAAATTTCATTGTGGTACAATCTAACTTCTTTAATGTTATGAGCAACATCAGCGACTGTGACATACTTTGAGCTTGACTCCATCCAGATAGTCCCAGAAAATTAAGCATCCATCCTGACCACATGTAACAATCTGGGGGAAAAAAATGAAGTTGAAAATAAGAGAAGAAAAAAAAAGGTGTGTACACACAACATGTAAACAGAAACTTTTTCATTCAAGTATCCATAAATGTAAGTCACAAATAGTGGAATCAGGCGCTCGTAAATTTTTGGGCATGTGGAATTATAGATGTCATCAGCTTGGTCATTCGTCTATAATATTTTGATGGAAAAATACCCATCCATCTTGAATAGAACTTGAGATCTTAGTGATTGAAGGAGATGGGGGTCATCTGGTTTCAGAAGTAAAATTTGCGAGAAAATGGCCGCCAAAGTTTGGTGACTTGCATTGCTTGAGAGTCCTTGGAAACTAAATTTTTTTTGTTGCCTTTAATCAACGTTTTTCTGTCATATCCACACAGAAATGTATTTTAAAAGGACAAAAGAAGTTGAGCTAAAAAAAAAAAAAGAAAATTAGAAAAAAATTGCCCATTAGCCCAAAAAAATGCAGATTTCTTTGATTTCATTATTTTGAAGAGCATATTTCTTAAAGATATAATTTGTTATTCGTAATTTGGTAATAATTTTAATATTCAAACACCCTATTTTGGTTAAGTCAAATTTTATAAATTTAGGTGTGATATGAACTTACCAGAACAGAATTTGGATGAACACTGTCTTTAATTATATGTTGAAAGCAAAACGATGAGTTTTTATCATAACACGGCGTTACAGCTTTCAGTCTGTCGTCAGGGTTCTGAGCGCTAACAAAAACAAAAGTAGACATAGATTTTCCTCATCAAGAATGCCTCTGTTTCTGTCATAGCTGCTGGTTTAGCTCAATCTAGAAAGCTGAATGAAAAACACCACCAGCATAAAAGACCTTCCTGACTTTATCCAGTAAAGTTTTAAAAATTTGGAGAACAAAAGTTATTTTCCCAGGTCTTTCCTTGGTCAAACAACTTAATTTAAATTCTCAAGGCATTTCTGAGGTTTCTGTTTTGTTTGTTTTAGTAGAGGTTTTACGACGCTCGCAACTGCATAAGGTCATATGAGCGCCAGGGGGATGTCAACAGAGAAGTCCTTACAGGGAATCAGACTTACTCTGCTCACCTCTCTAGCTTCAACAGCACAAAGTCTGCTTCGACTATCAACGCACCCCTGAAATAGCGGGTCACAAGAGTATGACAAACATACAAAAGAAGTAGAGGAAAATGACGATAGTAAAGATTAGGAAACAAAAAGCAGCAGGTCCCCGTTGTAGTTCAGGCACAGTTATGAGCATGAAATTGTTGGATTAGTCCATTTACAATTCCACTGTGCATTAGAACGAGAAATGTCCCCCCTTTGGGAATGGCCTAAAGACACTTCAGTCAGTGGCACCGTCCCATGGGGGGAGGTCTCTGTGATTGTATATAAGACTGGAAACAAGGGGAAAACAAAAAATAAAAAAGATAAGTACCACTACATTCCATTAACAAATGTACCTGCAAGACATTGCTTGGATTCAGAAAAACTCCTGTCACGGCTTTACTGTGGGCAGTCAAATCATGAACACATTCTCCATTTGTTGTGTTAAACACCTTGACAACAGAGCCACAACAGCAAAACAAGTAGCTGAAACACAATTTAAAAAAAATATTAATTCAAGCAAAGCTAGAAAGAACAAATTTAAGCAAAAATAAAACACAAATGAGACATTTTCTACACTTCAAAGCCCCCGCAAGGAAAATTTTAACGAAAAAAACTTGATCCTTTGCCACAAGATTCATTTTTCTCAAATGAAGGTGAATATGATTACCAAATGAAAACAAAAAAATGTGACATATATTAATCAAACCTGCTTTGTGGAAACCTCTCTAACTCTAAGATGGAAATATGTCATACAGAATCTCTGTTACAGGGGGCGCGGCAAATTCCCCCCCAACAATTTATTGTTTTGCGAATAGGCTTGAAATAAAATTTTCTTGAAAATAATTGATTTGCAGCAGTTGTTGTGGCCATGTGTGATCTGTAGCACAAAATGCTGCTGCTAAACCCCTTCAAGCAGTGCTTCTGTTCTATGTGCAGGAGTGAACTTAAAATTTAGGCATTCCTCAGTTTTGGCCCCCAAGAGTACTGGATATCGATACTGACTTTAATGAAATAAAAAATATTTGGTATCAATGTCTTTATGAGAGCGAGAGTTGCACTGCTATTTTTCAGTACAAAATGAGCAGTTCACTTGTTTTTAACAAGGGCGGAGTTTCAGGGGGGGCATGCCCCTGAATTTAACCGTAATTAGACATTTTTTGCAATTTTAGATATATGACATATTATTATATCACAGGATTGTTCCTGTCTAGATCCCTGTTTGGCCAGTGTGTCTGCTCTGTCAAATCCAGGTGTGTTTGAGTGTCCGGGGACCCACTGTATTACTAGGTTGATGCCACAGAATGTTATCAGATGATGGGAGCAAAACACAGTATATGGGTCAAATCTTGGTTTAGATGATGGTCATTTTCTATCGCTTGCCACACTGATAGTGAGTCGGTGAAAATCACAATACTATGTGCTGTTCCAGAATGGGGCACATTCTTTTAGTTCTTTCATGTAGCTCCAAAACGGCTTTATCTCTGCGACTCTTTTGGTTTCTTTTCTGTTTTGAGGTAGATGGTGACTCTCCATTTATTAGTTCTGTGATGTGATGTATGATTGACTTTTGTTGAATTCGTTTCTTTGGTTTCCATGTTTCTACTAATTTCCTGTTTGGGTGGTTGGGGCACATTCTTTTAGTTCTTTCATGTAGCTCCAAAACGGCTTTATCTCTGCGACTCTTTTGGTTTCTTTTCTGTTTTGAGGTAGATGGTGACTCTCCATTTATTAGTTCTGTGATGTGATGTATGATTGACTTTTGTTGAATTCGTTTCTTTGGTTTCCATGTTTCTACTAATTTCCTGTTTGGATGGTTGGGGCACATTCTTTTAGTTCTTTCATGTAGCTCCAAAACTGCTTTATCTCTGCGGATTCCCAGGGGATCAACATTTGAAAGGATTTCGCACGCGGCGGTAGGTGTGAATCTCATGCCACCATCTATAAAACGAAGGGCATTGTTTTGGACCTTGTCTAGGGTGTTGCAAGTAGTTGTACTGCACACAGTGAGTAGGCTATTGCCGTATTCCAGGGAACATCGGACATAACCAAGGTATAGAGCTCTCAGAGTTTGTTTGCAGGGGCGGCTCATGGGTCTAAAAAATGGACGTGCACAATTAAGCTATCTTAGGCTGAAGATAATCAAGGGCAGAGTAAATGGGATGGCGTATAATTTTAGGATATTTGGGTTGGTGAAGGAAGACCTTGTGCTTTTATTTTCATTCTTTTTACTTGTGGCTTTGACTTCTAGAACTAAATCTGTTTGTTAGCTACACGTCAATTTCATTCATCCTGCATTAGAACTGAACACTCAAGTAATACCTTTCACCACTCCACTACAAAACCGTTCAAAAGCACAACTCATAGGACGGCGACTTAAGTATGTCACGTTCACCTCCCTCAGGTTCACGGTCACAGAGTTACTTAAAATAGCGACAAGACAATGAACCAATCACAATTCACTTGAGCACTCCTCTGGATTGCTCCGGGGTCCACATAATTTTGGCATGGAATAGTGCATAGTCTATGGCGTTTATTTTTAGATTGCCTACGGTGGGCTATGTTTCGGCGCTATTCGGCAGGAGCACATTTGAGATGTGCCGTCTTATTAATTATTTTAATGTACCGTCAAACTCTCTACAAAGTGTTGGGTTATCCCAAAGAGCGATTTATAGGTCAGGTTTCCACTGTTGACTATCCTGTTATGTTTAGATACAGCGCATGAACTTAGGCATGGTATAGTAGATGTTTTACGGTGCTATAGAATAGAAATGACAGTTACGGCGCCAGCGAGGGCCTTGTTTTGATATAATATTTGGCTAATGTTTGTTTCTGGCGTCTTTTATTTTATTATTGAGGGTGCTTTACGTCATAGAACATTAAAACATTTTGGGCGGCACTGCACGACCGTGCTCTATGGACGAACCGCGCCTGTTTGTTTGTCTGATCCACATGAACTGCTTGTGAGTTTCTTTAAAAGTTGGGAGTCTTTTTTTTGCCTTGTTCCTTATGTTTTCCACTTGGCTTTTCATGGTTAGACTATGGTAAAGTTTGACTCCTAGGTAAGTTGGATGTTCTTCTTTGGGGAGACTTTCATTTCCTATCTTTAGTTTGAGATTTTCTTTGGCTGGTATGGCTCTTCGAGAAGATGGTGTATATACTGTTTTCGTGCAGTTTATTTTAAGTTTCCATTTCTGACAGTAATTGTGGAGCCTCTTGAGGTCTTCATTTAATTTCCCTGCTCCTACTATCGTGCTGTGATGTGTCTGCCAGAGAGCAAGATCATCGGCATAAAGAGTCTTTTCGTATTTTAACCCGTTCGTTACATCATTAAAGAAGATCAGGAACAAAGTGCAACTCAGACAGGAACCTTGAGGTAGGCCTTCCTCGAGTTCTTCTCTTGACGAGTGGGCATTTGTTTACCTTGGTTTCAATCCGACAGGAAGAACTTGATCCATTTGTAAAGTTTGCCAGGTATCCCGAGGTCCATCAATTTATGAGTAGGCATTCACTCCACACTCTGTTGTGTGCCTGTTGGAGATCTACAAAGATGGCGACAGTGGGTTTAGTCTCCTGAAATCCATCCTGGATGTTTTGACTCAGTTCAAAAAGTTGATCTTCTGTGTTGCTGCCTTTTCTGAAGCCTGCTTGGTGTTGGTTTAAGCTGTTAGTGTTTTCTAGGTACCAGTAGAGGCGGTTGTTTATCATTCTTTCCGTAAGGTTACCGATACATGATGTTAATGAGATAGGTCGGTAGCTTTTCACTTCTCCAGGTGGTTTCCCATTTTTCAGGAGCCGTATAATCTGGGCAATCCTCCATGCCTTTGGTATTCCACTCGTTCTCCATGTGGTATTTATCAGGGAAAGAAGAACTTCTTTTCCTTTAGCACCAAGGTTGCACAGAATTCCGTTGCGTATTTTATCTGGTCCTGGGGCTTTCTCTTCCCTTAGCTTTTTGAGGGCCTGACTGAGTTCCATCATGCTATAATCCTCTTCAAAAAGCGAGTTGTTCACAGTAGGAGCTTTTTCTTTAATGCTTAGCCCTATTTATAAGGAGTCTATCAGCCTTGGTTAGTCTGCCTGCCCTGTTTACAGCGGCGAAAAACTGGTTAAAATGTTCGGCTTTCTTCTAGTCTTCAGTGATGGTGCTGCCTGAAAGGAAAAAGGGTTTGGGGTTGCTTTTTTGTCTTTCTCCCGAGAGGTTGCTGACAAGGGACCAAACCTTTGTTCCTTTACAAGTGGCAGAGGTCAAGATCTTGGCAGGTTTGAGTCCATTTCTCTTTTTTGCCCTTTTTTTACTGTAACTTTCACCTGAGCGCAGGTCTTGTTGTAGTGCATTTTGTTTATTGGTGATGGTGATTTTTCCAATGACTGTCTAGCTTTCTCTCTTTCTGCCACAGCATTCTGGATTTCTTCACTACAAAAGGGTTTGAAATTTCTTCGGCATCGCCGAGGAACGTGCTGAGATGCAGCTTTAAGAATATTTTTGGTGACTAGTTCATGAAAAAGATCAGCATCTTCTGTTTGTTCTGCTAAGCTAGAGAGCAATTCAAGAGATTTTTAAATGTCTGAATATTCAGATACACTTCAGTTGTGGTTGGGGACTGTACTTCATTTTAAAATACTTTCAAAAGGTACTGCGAGAAAACAAGACTGCTCAACCTATTTTGCATTTAGTCACCCAGGAAAAACTAAAATCCTTCATGTCAAAAAAAAAATCCCTCCACGCCCCCCCCCCATCCACCTTACACACACAGGCCACTCCATTCGCTTATTATGATTATCAACAAATCTCAAGAACGGAAACTGTTCGGAGAAACAGAGCTCAAGTTTATTTTCCCAAACGTTCGGAGAAGTTAGAAATAGAGCCAGCCCTATTTAAATCAGTATCGTATCCAGTACTCTGAGTAGTCTGAGTTCATGATGCCAAGTCTAAATAGACAGGACCCACATTTTTCAGTAGTACCCTTAGATCTAGAATCTAGATCTAGATCTTTTTAGATCAAGATCTAGAATCTAGAATCTCTATCCTATCTAGATCTAGATCTTTCAAGATCTCTTGTCCCCAGTCACCCCTGCGACTTGCGAATTCATCAACAAAGTATTCAAAGTCCTGCCTTATACGGGGTGCCCACTACAGCTGGATGGGGCCGATCGCCCGACTCGATCGCCTGAAACTGAAAACAAACATGTTTGTTTTTGAGGCGATCGAGTCGGGCGAGCCCGTCCGTAGTGGGCACCCCGTATAAATTACAAGTTAGTTACTACTCCTCAGCTTAGCTGAAAAAGAAGAGGTACCGGTAGATCTAAATCTATATTCTAGATTCTAGGGCGATTTTGTAGTTTCGTTCGTTAAAGTCAAGCGGTCAAGCAGGGGGGTTTCAGGGGGGGCTTGCCCCCCTGACCTAAAAAAAATACGAAGTGACTATTTCTCCGAACGCTCGGAGAAATAGTGCCGATCTTTATTTCTCCGAACGGTTTCCGGCTTCCGGTCTCGTGATTTTTTGCCTATTTATTGCGAGAGTTCGGCGCCAACTTTCATTCTGCCCCTAATCTGGGAAGGAACACCGCATGGCAAGCCCGCCTACAGACAACCTTCAGTAACACCCATCACACACCCACCACCATCATGCACATGTACACACACTAACTAAACATGACCAACGGGCAACTTTTGAACGTATGACGAGCTGAGCTGTGGATGGAGAGACAGTGTGAGTGAAAGAGCGGGTGAAAGGAAGAATGTGCGAGTGTATCCACAGGCGACAGCAACTACAAGACGACGACACCGACCCCCCTAGCCTGGTCCATAGCTCACGAAAGAAAGGAATGCAGCTCAGGCAGTGTTTTGCCTATATTATTGTCCATGGTTCGCAGGGAGCAAGGGAATGAGTGAGATTTTCTTTGTGTGTGCCTGGAGGGAGGGGGTGGGGTATGAAAGTATTGAAAGTTATACGGACAGGGATGAGCCGCGGGAGAGAACACGGGAATTGAATGAATGAGTGAAACTGAAAGAGATGAACGACTCATGAGCCCTGGAGTGAATGGATCCTGTGTTTCTATTTTGTATACTTTGAACTGTTACTGAATAAAGGCTGAAATAAAGCCCGAAACACACACACACACACACACACACTCCTCACTCTCCACTTACTACCACAAACAGACACACTCACACACGCACATACATACACACACACATACACACAGGAGCAAATTTTTGGGTCTATATCTATTTCAATTTTCAAGAGCTAGTCTAGAGATTTTTAGATGAGTTTAAAAACGTGAAAAAGAAAGGTTTCACAACAGAAAGAAATCAAAATTAGGACAGCCCATAAACAACAACAAACATTAACAAATAAGGGCGTGTGTCCACCTGTCCGAAGAAGATTGGCTGTTTTAACCCTAAATGTGCGTAATTTTTTTTTTAAAGTACAGGATATTACATGTAAATTATGGAATCACACACATTAAGTAAGGGGTTTTGCTAGTGTCAGTACATTGGTCGCAGCAGTGACAAACGCAGATGCCAGTTCTATGTGTCGTTATCAATAACCCTCCGTAGATCTAGATCTAGACAGCACACGAGTGAACACAACAGTTGACAACACATTACGTTTAAGAGCAGTACCTTTCATAGCCAACACGCCATATCTGTAGCGAAAAACTGTTTGGAATTGTAGCATTTCTTTATATAAATATTTACTGCGGACATTTTTTGGACCGCTTGATTCATATTGTATACGAACAATCTTTGGTAGGCCTATACTATAATTACAGATCTAGTCTATATAATATCCGAAATTTACGAGAAAGGATGAGATTTCAGAGTGTTCGGAGAAATAGTGCCCAGCTTTATTTTCCCGAACGATCGGAGAAATAGTGCCTAGCTTTATTTTCCCGAACGTTCGGAGAAATAGTGCCCAGCTTTATTTTCCCGAACGTTCGGAGAAATAGTGCCGGCCAAAAAAATATGGAGGTTGGGGGGTCCAGGGGGGCATGCCCCCCTGAATTTTATCCTAATTTGATGTTTTGCAGTTAGGTTGCATCCCTGCTCTTTGTGTAGCCTAATTCAAATAGTATTTGGTCTTCAAGACTTCTGGATTTCTTCTCTGGATGTAAACAAATGGATCCTTGAATTTAACGAACGGAACTACAAGTACAAGATCACCGATTCTAGATCTCTAGATCTATGGTTATTGAAAATCATTGCATTGAAAATGCATCAAGGAGGTAAGAGGAGTTAAAGTTAAAAATCAAAGTTTACTAAAGTGTCTAAAGAAGGCAATTGAAATTAGCTTAGTTGAGTCAAAGACAAAGTTGAGACTGAGACGCAATGTAGCCGGCTTGTAAACAAAATTGAAAGGCAAAGATAAGAAGTTAGAGAAATATCTTACCGCGAGTCATGAGAGAAGCAAAGCTTTCCAAATCGCGAGCCAGCCTGGAGGCACGGCACAAGATCCATGTTGGTTCCCAGATATCTAATGTTTCGGAATAATTACATAACTGTCTTACGGAAAATAAAGGTTAGGGCCTACAGTACAGTCATGAATAGACCTTCTAAAGTGAAACCTCGGAACCTCGTGTCGGTGTTGTTGTAGTAGGAGTAGGCCTACCAAAAAAACACACAAAAACTAGAAACCCCCACGCCACACGCACTCATCCTGTTTCTTATTGGACAAAATATTCCCATTGACCAATAGAATTCTCCCTGACATATTCTGATATATAAAAAGCTTAACGCAAATCGACGACTCAAAAAGAAAAATAAGTTCTTGCAAATTGACAACACAAAATACTTGAAAATAGCGTAGATCCACGTGTCTCGTACAATGAAATCAAAGATACTCCATGAATATTAAATAGATGTATGGGTGGAGGTAAATTAAAAAAACAACATTTTAATAAATATGTGAGCCAAGTAAACAAAGAGAGTGAGAGTGAGAGAGAGAGAGAGAGAGAGAGAGAGAGAGAGAGAGAGAGAGAGAGAGAGAGAGAGAGAGACAGACAGACAGACAGACAGACAGACAGACAGAGAGAGAGAGAGAGACAGAGAGAGAGAGGGAGGGGTATCAAGTGCATGTGATTTGTGATTAAGTAGAAGGAGAAGAGAGAGATAGAAAGAGAGGGGGGAGAGGGGGGTGCTGAAGAGCTCTGAATAGTAACAGCATCTGAATGTGAGAGAAGGAGAGAGAGAGAGAGAGAGAGAGAGAGAGAGAGAGAGAGAGAGAGAGAGAGAGAGGGGGGGGGGGGGGGGGGTTACATAATTGATTTTATAATTCACATTGTGTTTGCCTTTATTGTATACTTTAAGTAAGCGAAACAAATAAGGCACCTATTCATAATCAAGGTCTCTTTCTCGCCAGCCCTCAATCTCTCTCCTCCCTCTCTCTCTCTCTCCCCCCCCCCCCCCCCTCTCTCTCTCTCTGAGTATATAAGCGAATATGAGTTTGTTAGCGTGATGTGAGTATGCATGTGCGTGTTTGCGCACACGCGGGTATTTGTTTGTTTGTGTGTGTGTGTGTGTATGTGTGTGTACGTGTGTGTGTGTGTGTGTGTGTGTGTGTGTGTGTGTGTGTGTGTGTGTGTGTGTGTGTGTGTGCTTATAAGGCTATGTGTTCCCTTGACATCGATAATGCCTTATTAGTTTACTTACTTTTATCTATTTGTCTATAAATAAGCTATTACTTTTCAAACTCTCTGTGACCTAATTCATTCAGTACGAATCAGTACGATGGAAGAATGGCTATTTCAAGAGGGCATAATCTATTATGATATGAAATATTATTTTGATATATACATGTATTAATATAGGGCTACATATTATATATACAGTCAAACCTCGTTGTGCCGCCAGCCCCGCCAGGATTTGACAATTGAAGCAGTAGATGTCTTTTGATTTTCTTACGCAACAAAAGATGTAAATGTATGTTTTATAACATGTCATGTATTTCAAATAATGATTTTTAAGTCTCTTTTTTCCCTCTTATAATCTCATCATTAGTGCGTATGTGTCAGTTTAATACCATCGTCCTAATTAAAAGATCTCAGTTCTGAGCACGACATGAGTACTCTTTATTGGGTTGGGGTTGACGGTGTGAGGAAAATGGGACTGTTCTCTCTGTGGCCTACATATATATAGATCGATATCTTGTATACTTCTATCTGAATCCCGCTCCCCCTTTTTTTCTCTCTCTACACATACGTGAACGTGTACCCCCCCCTCTCTCTCTCTCTCTCTGTGTGTGTGTGTGAGTGTGTGTGTGTGTGTGTGTGTGTGTGTGTGTGTGTGTGTGTGTGTGTGTGGGTGTGTGTGTGTGTGTGTGTGGCAGACAGAAGAAGAAAAAGAAGAAGAAGAAGAAGAAGAAGGAGAAGAAGAAGAAGAAGAAGAAGAAGAAGAAGAAGAAGAAGAAGAAGAAGAAACACTTTTAGACTGGCCTCACAGTGTGAGTGGACAGCCGAATGGTGAAACTACAGAATAATCGACCTAGTGTCACTGTCAGTGTCAGCGTGGCAGAAATGAACAAAATAAAGCAACCAGCTTGTACTGTGTTGTACTGTCCCCGTAGGATTATGCGATTGTGCGGCCGCGTTTTTTAGTGCAATTCTGCAACATTTGCATAATTTTGGATTATACGCGTTTTTTCCACAAAACAATGAACGCCTCGCCATGTGACTAAAGGGACGTAATCACCGTAATAACCCTCATTTAAGTTAAAAGTTGGTTATTTCCCTTGTTAGAAGATATTAGTTATGGGTTGTGATTTTGTTCTTTGAGCATGTTCAATTTTTCAAGTTGTTCTCATGTCGGCTGATATTTCATGTTTGACAGGTGTCCCTGGTTTTAGTAATGTGCCAGAGGTCCAGATTTCCTTTTTTTCCCCCACTTTTTTCTTTCCTCTATAGATCTAAATTGTGTCGGTGAGTGAATAAAATAAATAAAAACCACATCTATTTCTCTCTCTCTCTCTCTTTGTTGCGACCCATGGGCTAGAGAAGTTGAGAATGATGGTTTTTATTTATACACGTGTATTATTATTTTTTAAAAGTAAAGACGCATCGACACAATCACAGGGTGTTGGAAAAAAGCAAAGCAAACCTGACAGAAACCAGAAAGGGAAAGCAAAGAAGTAAGACTTACCAGTAGAGAGTAATATAATATAAATTAATATAATGTAAAAAAAAAAATCACATTGTAGATCTGATCTATGGACATATTATGTAGGTCTACTGTGAATGTCAGGGTTTGAATGCAGGAGGTTATCCCTCATGGCCTTTGAAACAAAAACCTGGTATTATCTCTACAGTTCTCTTTGACTTTTGAGTTCAGGTTAGTTCTATAATATCAGGTCCGAATCATGGATTACTTCCGTAACTTAAAGTTAATGCATTGACGGATTGTGTCTCAACTCAAGAGAGGACTCTTGTACAAACGTCAAGAATATGCCAGCGTTTTGCATGGCAAAATCCTTATCTTACTCACTCCTTGTACACAAAGTTTCAAACAAAGACTGCTGTTATGGGCCCAGCCAAGGCTATAAAGTCAGTTTTAATGGACTGCATATTACTAAAATGTCTTTTAAATAACAACATACCTACAGGACGTTGAGAGTCTGGACTTAAATTAGCTCTTTCTGCACGACCTTGGCTTATTAACTGGGAAGACCAACAGACCACAGACCATGAGAATAAAAAGAAGATAAGAAAGAGCTTGAAAGGAGGAGATACTCCATGAATTTGGCGGGGGCCACTCCTAGTGAACCATAAAACATTTGAGAAAAGTGTTGAAAATGGACTTAAAAGAAGTTAAAACTCCAATCTCTATAATGTGCCCACAATTGAAAGTGAGTACAGTTGTCACATCAGATCTTGATTCTCTCCATGTATTTCTTTGATGTCAATATTTGTTGGTAACAGAACCAACAGTTTTGAATACACAACATAATTATGAGCTCTCACAGAAAACACATTCAAGCTGCAGCTGAGGGACCTAGATTCAACCCCCCTCCCCCCCCCCAAAAAACAAAACATCGCACAGCTTCTAACCTAAACATTCTACTTCTACATTCATTCAAGTAAAAAACCAATTAAAATAATAATATCAATAATCATGTAGACAATTTCTGTTGCACCTGCTCCCATGTGCATAAAGCCTGGGTCTCCTGTGCGTGGCGCTGAAGTGCTTAACCACCACAGATGCTGGGGGGGGGAGGAGTCTTGAGAGAGTGAACTCGGCTCTTTTCATATGAAGTTACAACAGCCCTCTTTTCACAATTTAGATTTAATATAAAACTCATCCCACTGGTCAAGGTTCACACTTGGAACATCATATTGTATCATACATTAACCCTATCTATACATCGTGTTTTACTGTCGTATCCATACGACGTGGGGAATGCTGTGCCACCACTTCCGAAGAGGAAATTTAGTCGTTAATCCGATCAGTATGCTTTGCATAGCAGTCTGTCAAAATGACTTTTTGAGAAATACTGAAAGTTACAAAGAGAACTTCGTACTAGAAGTATTCTAAAATGTGAAGAATACAACCGCGGGGGTACAAAATGACCCCAGGGCGTACGGATACAGATAAACAAACTTGAAAGATTCAACACTTGTCAATATTGAAGAGCGGAATAATAAAGTACAAGACATATTGTTATCCAGAACATTTATTCATCATAAAAACATCAGTCATTATTCAAGGAATGAAGAACACATCTTTGTACATATGCAGTTGCCATCATAGCAAGAAGTATGAAGGGACATAATCTTGTTAAAAAACTGTGTAGCATGCATCCCATATCATCCAGTGACTGGCCTTGTCTTTGGAATACTCCTGCTCACAGCACCATAGACCTTGAGACTCATTGCCACAGTAAACTGAAAAAGTGTAAAGAAATAATACAGTGGAAACCATCTATAACAGGCACGGTAATAACAGGGATCCGGTAATGGCAGGGATTTTTTAAAATCCCCATTTTTTCCTACTCTTTGTCTCTATTAAAAGTTATGGGCAATAGCAGGGCTTCATTGGAGCCCAATCGATTATAGCAGGGACAAAGCTCGTTAATAATGTGTAAAAAGTAAGTGTGAGAGAGAGAGAGAGAGAGAGAGAGAGAGAGAGAGAGAGAGAGAGAGAGAGAGAGAGAGAGAGAGAGAGAGAGAGAGAGAGAGAGCAAGCCCACGCAAACCACGCCACTACAACTGCAAGCACACGCAGCGGGTGAAGCGAGAGAGGGCTGAGGTGTGCAAGGGAAACTACCCATGAATAAATACAGCTATATTAGTATTAGTCCACAAATGTTTACTTCTCTTGCATTTCAGATTTAACAGGGATCTGATATAACAGGACTTTTTCTCTGGTCCCACCATCCCACTGTATAACAGTGGGGAAATAGCAAAATTACCATTTTTTTTAAAAAGAAAGAAAGAAAGATTTAAAAAGAGCAGAGTGAACTCACCAGACTAGACCCATGGTAAGATTACCATTATTGTTCTCTGAATAAAAGGAACTGGCATTTAACTGCCATCTCTGTAAAGCTAAAAAAACCTCTTTTTATATTGTCGGTTCTTTTATTTAAGAAACCCCCCCCCCCCCCCCAAAAAAAACACACCAAAAAAAATAACCCCATTGTCCACCTAAAAAATACAGACATTGAATTATTGGCTATTCTATGCAAGGAAATTAGAAAGA